TTTCGGGAACCTTGCATTTTCAAGGCTTTTACATGGATATGGCTTTCAAAAGTAAATGGACCAGCTTTACCCAAAGACATGCGTATACAGGTGGATAAAGCTCCTCCTGACAAAATTGGACCTGAGAAAAAAAATCTCATAATAGAGGCCCACCCCCACAACTGGCAGAATATTGATTTATATTGAAAAGAAAATCACAATAGGGACCAGGACACTAATCGGCATACTAAATTAATCTCAAAAAAACAAGTACTGACGACTTCTTGGCGAATTAAGCTTAGCTGAAATTATCAACGATTCTTTTCCCTCTCGTTTTGTGCCATGACTTGACTTGCACAAATATACACAAAGACATAAAACCTCCATTTGTTGCGTGGGATCTGCCCAAGGCCAAGACACCCAGTGGCAAAGCCAGCCGCTCACGTTGTGACAGATAGGCCCAGTAGCGGCACTTCAATGCAATGACCACCTCCCAAGCAGCCACCGTACATACGAAGGAACCGTCTCGGCCAAGATGGAAGGATTGTTTTAGCACATGGACAAAGGGTGGAACGTAGGAAGGCTGTCTTCAAGCAAAAACAAAGCCAAAGCAAAAGGTGTGGTCATTAGTTACATGTTGAAAATTTTGAAAGGGTGTTCTTTTTAGTTCATCTGGTTTTGACAAAGAGTGGCTATGCAGCAACAAATAGGAAACTTCCAACAAACGTATCCCAAAAGCACCCTTACCAATTCCTTTACCAATTCCCTCGCACTGATCTCCTGCAACTATACTATACCCTCTTCATCCACAACCCCCAGTATCATAAACTCTAGTTAACCTAGTTTTGAGTCAACATAGATCAACTTAGCTATCGCGGCCCCACTTTGAAAGGAAACAAAATGGACGGGAAGACATGAAAGACCTCCAGCGGCCTAGGCACCTATGACGACTTTGACATGCTTTCCTAACCGAAAAGGCGGAGATGTCAGAGCCACCGTGATTGGCGATCCATCGGTAATCCCCAGAGAAGTCAACGGCACACGGTCCGGCAGCAAGTGATCACCATGAAACAATCTCCTAAGCACAGGCTCATGCCCTGCGTTGGGAAAAAACATTTAAGGGGACCCGGGCATGAACCCATTGGAAACACCAACAGTGACCTTTCAAACATCCCAAGTGTTTGATAGCAAACCATCTTGGAAACAAGTGCATGTAGATTTCACTATAGATGGAAAAATCTTGCCTGATTGGCTCCAGTAAGCTCCTTGTGATGACGATACTTCCAAGTTTGATGATTTTGGTTTGGGGCAGTTTCTGCTCCGACGCCAGAACGGACTGAAGTTGGTGAAAAATGGTCAAAGCATCTCTGGTGCCCTTAAAAAGACCGCTGCTCACATTGGCACCAGCCCAGCTTGGAATTCACATTGCGCATGACTTTGGACACAAAGACAGTAAGTAGTGAAAGTTAGCCAAGAATCATGATTGTCTGACTCAGCTACTAGTAATTGTTCCGACATTGCTTGGTGGCATCCATCCGGAACCTCATGCCTATGCTTCCCGCTACCAGATGCTACCGATCAATTCAGCGCATGCAAAACAAAAACAGGAAGCAACATGCGCTCAACTGTGGACCCGATGAAAAAAATGAAAAACACATATTTCACTGACATTCCTATGTCATACCTCTGACATTCCACTGACAGCGTGAGTGACCTAGGGAAGTCCGAATATTAAGCTGAAGGCTTCTGCATGAATTGCAACCCCATTGTCACCATTGGTCCACAATGCAAATGAACAAACTTTGCACTTCAAGGGGAACTGCTGGTATTAATTTTTGTCTGCACCAACTACTCCAGGTCTGCCACCAAATAGGTTCATCGGGGTCTGCTGTTCCAAACCCACTCGCTACGAACAAAACCACAGGCCTTCTCGCAAAACACAATCAGGCTGGCCGCCCCCCATGGTAGACGAGATGCAGCAAGTGCATTGGCTGCTCTGTTTGTTCGCAAATGCTTCTTTTCAAATCCATACCTGCACAACTTGTATTTTTTCCGCATTCGATGATTGGTACTTCGTCATCATTCGATATCATTCGGACATACGCTTTCAAAGCAACCGTAAAATCCAGGGGTCAATCATCAATTGTCCCATGAAAAATGTTATTTGACGCTATTTGGGGGGACGTTGCGCCTGTTGTCCTTTCAGTGACCTTGATCCGGAGGCGCCACTGACTGGAAGATCGTGGCAGCCAGCAGTCCACATGAACATCTCCTTCCTGAACGCTCTGAGAAGTCAACTGGGGGGATTCCCAAAACCATAATTGTCTAATTTTGGCTGATTTGGGTGTACCCCTATTTTGGGAAACTCCAACTGAGGAATTGCATGGACAGCCGAGAAGGTTTTTTTTTCAAGAATGGCCCCTACTATAACAAAAACCATGGTCCAAGTTTGGAAGCCCTGCTTAACCCATATATTTGGCCCCTAGGAAGCAACCGTCAACGGCCAATGAAATGACCATGACTGGACAAGTTTCCGGCTTGGTTTGGCGAATTTCCCCATCACCTACCATCTGGCGGCGGTCCCTGTACTCTCGGATCTGCGTGCGCAGGGCGTGGTTTTCCACCAGCGTCCTGCAACGTAGGTGCCGCCCAAGAATGGGCCAATGAGAGGTGCCAGCAATTCTAAGGCAAGCATGTATAATGCTTCCCTGCTGTCATCTTAAACCAGAATGTACCCAAAAACACAATCCTAGTCACTGCGATCTGCGAAGTGACATGAAGTGACATGTTCAACACTATATGACCACTGTGTGATTTCTGCCTATATAAGGTGAAAAAATTGAGTCTTAAAATGATTATTTCTAAAGCCGCCCAGCCAGAACTCTGCGCAGCAAAATCACCCGAGATGAGACTTGCAATGTTGTGATCTTACGTCGAAATTTAATTAAAATTCGGAAAAGGATGGCACCTAGCCACAGTTTCAATGATCATTCTGAGGGATATTCCGCATACCAATGCATATCAAACATCAACCGTCGAAAAACAAAAAAACTGATTTTGGTTCATATGGGATGGAGGATGAGACGAAAAGTTCCCGGTGATCAGTTTTAATCTTGACCCGGTCATGTTGAAAAACGCATCTGATGGCTCCATCAAACCGCGAGAGCAACTCTCCCCATGGAGTATACTCTCACATATTTGTGTTCGATGCGGAACATGATGATAGACCGTTGGATGTTTTCCAGCATCTTAAGACAACACCAAATCATCTTCTTGGTTTCTTCGATTATGATTATATATGTCCATGTCTTTCCAATTTTGGGGCTATTCTCCCAGTTGACAAAAATCTCTGGCCGATGGCAAAAGCAGCGTCCTGGTCAAATTCTGCCGGGTCATGGGTGACTTCTGCGATCTGCTGAGCCATTCTTCGATCGCGTGGCGCTCGTAGGTGAAGCCGTCAGAAGCGCACACCTAACTGTGGATTGAAACAGCTGGGAAAAAGCCCTCTCACCTTTCTCACCTTTGTCTGAAGCTCCGGCTCAGAAGACGGAGTCTGGTGCTCGTCTCGTGACACGTCCCTAAATCAGTCATTCCACGGTGGCGTTGCGCCCAAGTCTTTTTCAATTTGCCTGGCTGGCAAAGAGGCTGCATGTTATTTAAAGTAATCATCCAATTGATTCAGTCTCTCAGTCACACGGACCCTGACATGTCCGCACCAGAACACCAGTATATGACCGCTTGGGCGGCATTGCTGTATCAAAAGCGGGTGTTCGGTGGCTTTACCAAGTCGTTGCAGATATCGCGAAAACCATTGCACATAGTGTTTATAGTTACATAATTCACCTGGTGGTGGGTCGATCCACTTTTTGCGTGCTCGCCGGCCCCCACAACTGTGAAAATTTTTGGAAATCCACAAGTAGTTGGGGAAAGGAAATCCACATCACGTTGCCTTCGACTGTCAAGGTTTTCAGCCAGCTCAAAACTGCTGGCAGGGCTTTGACATGGAACTTTTTCGGAATTTCATTTACCTCAGTCCAGCAAAATGCTGAATTCCTCCATCCACTGCTGGTCGTTGTTGGATACCTATTCCTTCAGGCACAACTGGAGCTTCTGGCGCGCAAGTGGATTCAAGTGCTTTGAGCCCAATTGCGACGATCATGGAGTGGAGAGCTCTGCCGAATTTTCGCAGTGCTTGCATTTCAAGGACCAGTTTTTCAACGGCATGGATGAGTATAGGGGTGGCAAGGTGGCTCGTGCATGTGCTGCGCAAGCTGCTGAAGTGTTGAATCTGGCAAGGCTTGGAGGTCTGCTTTTGCCACTCCGTCCGGTCCAACTGCAGCTCCTTTGCGCTTGCTATTAACTGCTTTACGCCAGGTGGAGGCGGTGATAGGGGGAGATCCAACTTTTCTAGCTGGCAGGGCAATTTTGAAAAAGTCAATATGTCCCATTTCGTGTGATCAGTATGGTCATGCTTCTGCCTCCTTGGGGCCCATTCTGCTTCGAATGCATCAAGGAATTTTGTGATGTCCCCAGTGTTTTTACGCAGGGTAATTTCACTATCTAGCTGAGCGGCTGTTTCCGCTGGGATGGCAAACTCATTTTGGTCGGTTTGTGATATCAGGACAGGTATTTGACTGATGGTTACAGATTGAAACCCTTCGGGTAAGGGCTCTTGCAAGGTTATATGCACTTGATCTTGGGCCTCGTGGCGTGAGGTGATGGCGAATGTGTGATTCTGCACGATGGTTTGGACCGGTTCGGCACGGTCTCGCTGGAGGTCTCGGTAGATGAGCATCGGGTCTTTGGTGCGTCGTTGCTTGGCATGTTCATGTCTTGCTTTCATCATGCTTTTTTCCAGGGCACGGTAGTGATATGCAAACTCTTCGAAGATGCTCAAGGCAACATCAGCTGCAGGGGGGCTAAACGGCAATGACAAAGGTGACGCTGGAAAGACTTTGTCAAGCTGGTTCCACCATGTGTCAAACCCTTCTTGGAAACCTGTGGACTGGCGTATTTTGAGCCAGAGGCTGGCTTTGTGCTCTGCTAAGGTCATCTGTGTGCTTTCACTACTGGCTGCTCTTGCGTAGTGTCGGAGTCTTCTTACCTGTTTGGTCCATCTGGCATGTGTCATATTGGTGCAGGCAAGTTCTGATTGGATATCTCCTTTGCGGTTGGGCTTAACCGGGGCTGCTTGGGAATTGGTCCAAACAACTTCCTTGGTGGCTGCTCTGCCTTTCTGATGCGGCAGCATGGCTTTTGATAAGGTGGTCTGCATGTTCTTCTGCGTCGGCACAAATTGCTTGATACCACTGATCCATGTCATGCATTGGCTGCGCTTGGCATACCCATTCACCGCTAGGCTGCTGAGGCTTTACCCATTGGATGGGCTTGGGTTTTCTCCACATGGCTACTTTTGGAGGGGCATCTATATCACTAAGATGTACAAGAATGACCGCATGGTCAGCGAAGGAGCTCCAATCGAGCTGGATATCTTCAACATGTGGGATTACTTCGGGGCTAAGATACAAGAAGTCCTTTACTGTAGTGCGTTTGCAGGTACACATTATGGGTCTGTGCCATTTTCTGGATGCAAGTTGCTGGGCTTCAATCCACCCTTTGGATTCCCAGTAGTCGGCCTGGGGTATGTTGGCCCTTTCCAAGTTCCAATCGCCTGAAACCATACGCAATCCATGTGCCCCGTCCACCACTCTGGTGGTGAGGCCAGTCAAAAGCCGGTCAGTGTGCTGTTGTACCTCTTTTGAGTGTGCCCCTTCATGAAAACCATATACCGTTCCCATAGTAACCCAATCGTTTATTGATATACGCAGCCGATGCCAAACACCTACCCGATGCATAGTCTTCTGTTGACCAGTGATGGACAAGATTTCGAATTGGATGATGACTGACATAGGCGACACCTGCTTGCTTTCCTCCCATGGTGCGGAGGGACTGATTCTTTGGAGGCGCTGGGGCCCCATGTGTCATGTTTAGACATGTTTTCTGCCAGGCTGGCTCTTTTCGAAAACGGCTAATCCCCTGGGCTGTAAGATCCGTTTCTTGCACCGCTATGGTGGCACTGGCCTGACCCAGTGCAGCAAGAGTGGCACTCTTTCCCATCAGTCCGGTTGGATTTGCATTTGCAAAAATATGAGGTCCCGGCACCTTGGCTTCCCCCAGCCTCATGACTGTCGAAAAGAAAACTATGAGGAGGAGACACAGAAATTTCTGACATCTTGGAACCACCAAAGGCTTCGTTGGTGGATATTTGCGTGCAGACAGACAAGCAGGATGCTTCAGTACCGGTCGGCTGTTTCGGCAAGCTTGCCTGTAATTAATGGTGGCCTCAGTGCATAGTCACTCATGTCTTCCCCGCTTGCAAAGCAGGGCTTCTATGCGATCCATCTGTTCGGACATTTTCCTGTCCAAGGTCTGGGAGAGCTGCTGGTTTTGGTGCTCCATCTGGATCTGCAACTGATTCACCGTGCTTTCCACTCCATGCTGCGTGGTTTGGACTTGCATGACTGTTTGATCAACCTGGCAAAGCTTCTGTTCGAAGGCCCCTTGATTTCGTTGGATTTGCTGAAGCTGGTCCTCAAGCTGTGTAGCCCGGCTGTCAAGGCCTCCATGGTCCATGGTGACATCTGAGTCTCCAGCTTTGATTCTGGGGCCAAGGTTGGCCAGCAACTTCTTTTCGATGCTTGCTTCCATATTGGCCATCATGGCGGGTGGCCAGCTGGCATATTGGCTTGTTGCTGCTGTTGCTGCTGCTGCTGCTGAATGTTTGTGCTTGTGAGGCTGTTTCCAAGGATCATTCATGAGCCATGGGTCCTGGTCCACATTCTGGTTCAGGTGCATGATGGTCTTCTTGGATGCCACTACGGAGAGTATCTTGGGGAGATTTCAGCAGGCTTGTCATCCTGGAGTTTGCTGATTAAGACGTCCCCATGCTGTAAGACGTAGATCCAGTGGCCTGGGTCTGTGGTGGCCTGGATCGTCCATGTGATGCCACTGCCGTCTTGGCTACGCCCTCGTGGCTGGAGCGGGCGAGCCTCCCAGCCCCATGCTTTCAGGAGTTTTGTGACTGCATCTTTGGTTGTTGAGTATGGCAAAGGGCCAAGGGCATACAACATCTTTGATGGTCCCATCAGCTATGGAGTGTCTGGTCTGTGCTTGTTGTGAATCTCCAAGGCGTTCATTGTGTCACTGCGGAGTCCATATCGATCGGCATGTCTGACCAAAGACGTGGTCTGCGGCGATGTTTGCCGGGCATATTTGGCTTCCTGGAAAGTTGCATTTGGTATCCAAGTCACATGATGGGTATTGCTGGGGAATCTTCCGCATGCTGATCTTGGTTCAAAATAGATTCTGTTGGCCCCACTTTGGGATACCAGCTCGTTGGCTTTGTCAGCCAACATACGGAATGAGAAAACAAACATCTCGGCTGCTTTGTTTTTGGTTTTCTCAAAACGTTTGGTAACCCATTGTCGGTCCCACACATCTATGACGATGGGCTCAGAAGCTCAATCATGCTGCAGCAAGGGCTCGGATGCAAACACTGTCTTAACTGGATGAGATTGCATTGCATCCCACAGCGATGTTTGGTCTTGGAAGACAAAGCATCGGATGGCTTCAGTATCCCTTTCATCAACTGCAATCTTGACCTGTGGCTCATGGCGTTGGACGGTCTGCATGCCTAACTGATACAAGTATCCTGCAGCGATCAGAGGTTCCTGCGTGGACACACATAGTGCTGGGAATCTGATGGGTTCCGATTCATGTTGATTGGCATTTTCTTTGGTGGCAAGAACCAACACTGCCACTGCTAATCCTTTTTGCGTCACAGGAGTTTGCAGTTTCAGGACAGCATGGGAATCCTCTTCATCGATGAGGACAACTCCTTCCGCATTGTTGCCCGCATGTTCCGCTCTCAGTGGTCCGAGGACCTTTCCATCATTTTGCTTGAAGACACCTTCTGGCACTTGCAAGTCGGCTGCCTTGATCGTGATCATGTCTTTGGGCTGATCTGTGTTCTTCTGATAAGCTTTGGCTGGCTTCCTACCGAACTGAGCTCGGTGTTTTGCTCTGGCAGCGATTTGTTTATCCAGTTCGTCTTGCATGATCAGCTTCAGTGGCGGCTTGACTTGATTGGCTGCATGTTTCAAATCAGGCTATGGCTTTCTCGACGCAAGGATGCCTTTGAGAGTGGCTACAGGCAGTTTCTCCAGGATCTTGCTCGCCCGGTCTTGGACACGATCTGGCCAGACTCCATGTTCACTGAGCAACTTGGTGAGTTGCTGATGATTTTCACTGTTAATCTTCATGCCTCACAGGGGGAGGTGGTGAATGATGTCAGTGTGATGGCCAGTTTGCAGCAATTGGTGAGCGAACATGTATCTCCATTGCTCTGCTTTGTGGGCTGGCAATGCCGTGGGTTGGAGTCCTGAGTGCATAGCTACTATCCATGCGAATGCCTGAAAACCACAATCGGCTGCACATGCTTGAGGCATCACTTTCTGGTGGACTTCGAGCGTGAGGCCCGGGTCTTCTGTGATCTCCTGAGCTGCGCGGAGGAAACAACTTCCTTCAGGGGTGGTGGTCATTCGGATGCATCTGTCATGCCTGGTGATCATGACTGGGACCCAATGTCCTTGCACAATGGCTGCTGAGGCGAACGTGGTTTTGTCATCAACTTCAGCGAGTGGTCTGTGCAACCATGCCCCTGCTTCTTCATTGACTGCAGCTTCATGAAAGAATTTTTCTGGCAGAAAGACTTTGGTGTCTTCGCTGGCAATTGTTCCTTCAAGATAAAACAGCATTTCATCCAGAGCAACCCATGATTGTTGTTTCCATAACACATGGATCCTGCAGACTGGGGGCTGGACAACCTCTGTCGGTTGGATACCTGTGATGGCTGGGCATTTGATGCTCGGTGGTTGTTGGTGCAGATAAACCACTTGCTTGTCCTGCAGCGGTTCATAGAGGGGCAATGGTGTGCCAATCCATGTTCTGGGGAATATCGGTCGCACCATCGTCTTGAGTCTTGCTTCAGCCTGTGTCAGTTGGTCCGGCGTGGTTCCAACTGGTACTTTGATTTTATAAGGCTCAAGCTTGTCATCTTGGATGATCCAGATTTGGATGGTGGCTTTGTCGCTGGCTTCAACATCCTCTGAGATGTTTGTATTGCCGGTTTCATGTGGTGGTACTGAAGCAGGCTGATTATTTTCACCATCTTCTGAGGGATTGGCATGAGTCATCTTTCCCGTTTTATGTGGTGGTACTGGAACATGCTGATGATATGGGGTTTGTCCCTCTTCTTTTGGCTCTGCGATCGATGATGCTTGGTTCGGCTGGCAAATCTGAGGTTGCACTGCTGAGATCTGGCCCGGCAGTGTTTGCAGTGTATGTGGTATCTGGTGTGGTACTGAAATTTGTGCGCTTGTCTGCGCTTCACCTGTTGATTTGCTTTCTGTAGGCTTGGTTGCGTGCTGTGTCTTGCGTCGTTTGTTGGTCTCAAATCCTATCACCCCACCCGTGGATGGTGGGTCGTTGATGGCAATGTTCTGCTGTGTTGTCTCGAGAAGCTTTGCGATTGCTGCTGTCTCGATGGCTGCTTCCGTGTTTGCTGCTGTAGTTTTGGCTGCTTCATCATTATTATGGTTTTGTATCTGCTGATGTGGTGTCACTGCAGTGGCTGTGCAGGCTGCTGCACCTTTGTGTAGCATGCTTGGCTCTGCTTCCCTCATCTGCGTTCGTGCCAGCAGACCTGATGGGTCGTCTTGTGATGTACAGTACATCTGGCACTGCTTTCTTGCTGATGTGGGCATGCTTGCTGCATGGTTGCTGTTTGCTGCTGCTGCTGCTGCTGCTGCTACTGCCATGGTTGGTGTTGGCAGGGACATGGCATCTGGTGCATATTTTGATATTTCTGATCTCAAATTGCATTGCTCATCGCTTGGCACGCTGGCTTGATTTGGTTGTGATGCAGGCTTTGGTTTGGTCATTTTTGTAAATGATGGTTGTGGTGTTGGTGCATGGGATCGGATGCATGGGTTTCACAGCGGCACATGATCGGTCTGTGGCGATTGCATTCAAGGCTCCTGCTTCGGATGCAGGTGCACGAATTTCGGAGGGTGATTGATGGACGGCTTTGGCAAGATGCACCTGGTGCATCATTTCTGGGCTTCGGTTAAACACCCTTTCAGGTGGTGATTGGCCAAGATCTATCGGATGCTTCTGTACAACTTCGGCATTCGGAGTCTGTACATGGTGGACATTTTGTCCTGATCAGGGACATCGGCGGCTGCAAACTGTACAAGCGGAGTCACTGTCGTGTACTGTGGCATCCAATGCATGGCTTTTCATGGGGTCGGCGGTTGCTCTCGCATGGGAGTCGATGTGCCCTCTTTCAACTGCGATTGTTTGGCGACTGTCACCAAATGGCTGCGGTCGGATGTTCAGGGATTCTGACCTCTGTACATCTTCGGATGCATCAGCATTTGCAATCTGTACGCTCGGAGTCTCTACCGGAAGTGTGGAGGCATCCCATGCTTGGTTTCTCCTAGCGGCAGGATCGACGGATGCAAACACAGGCATGTCAGGTGGTCCCCTATCCTTTACTGCTGTAGAGTGACTGTCTCTAAATGGCTGCAGCTGGGTGTTCACGGGACCGAGCTACACCATCAGGAGTCTGGATTCGGATGTTTCGGATGCAGAAGCCTGTGGAACCTGTTTGATGGTGAGGGCACCTGTTGCCTCTGGGATCTGTCGTTCTGCCTGGATGTCAGGATTGGCATTGTCCTGACAAGGAGTTTCGTCTGGTACCTGGGCTGTGCGGTGGTCGTGCATGGCATGTTGATTCACTTTGGATTCCTCGGGGTTGGTTCCATCAACAGTGAGTTCATGGGTCTTTCCTTGTGTAAAAGACATGGCATGGATCATGTGTGAGAAAGCAATTGCAGTGGCACGAGATTGCTCTCCGAAAACCTCATCGCGTGTTCTCAGCAAATTTCCCATGAGTTTGAGCAGTGTCACTTCTGGTTCGCACGGTTCACCAAGATCCAGAGTCCTCATATAAGATGTTGCATTGCACATGCTCCGACCCATGCTGATTGTAAAGGCGAAGCCATCTGTCCCAACCCACATGGGATGTGAACCCCAATCACAACCTGGAAGCATTCCATTCAGTACTGCCAATTCGTCTGGGGTAATATGACGGAAATTGGGGTAAATATTGTTCCCACATTTGGATTCCCCGGCCAACTGAACCAAAAGCCCATGAAGTCCTCCATTTTGAAGCCTTTGTTCAATGAAGGGATGCTTGCGACACCCACATGGACATCCCATGAGCTGATTGCCACAGGAGTGGAGGCTGGTGGCCATCTGACCTTGCATCGGGATCATGTTGTTGTGAAATCCAAAATGTGAAAACTTTCCCAACTCGTACAAATCCAGTTGCAGTTGTGATAACATCTCCTGTGAACATGCTTAGAACTGTCCCAACAAGCTTGACACCATCGGCTGTGGATGAACCTGCGGAAATTCTTGCCATGGGATCACACCTAGAGATGGGTGGGCTAGTATGCACCACCATCGGCGTCGTCTGGCTGGCCAGACTTGCTGCAAACTGAGGATTCCGTGTATCCAGTTTCTTTGGAAAACTGTGCAATTACCTGTTGTACCCACGGACAAGTGTGGGCTTCTGCACCACATTCCAGGAAGATCAAACCATACTGTCCTAAGAATCCCAATCTCAGTGTTGATGGCAACCTCTGTGAACGTGGATCTTTCTGATGCTGCTGGTCGCCCAACCTGCTGTACGGTTGGCAACTTACACCTGCTGCAAGCGATCTGACATCTGGATATTTTCGGCTGATTTCGGCCAAAAGGGCATCTGAACATGTGTCACCTATAGCAAGGTGTCGGAGGCATGCAAACGGCTGGCTAGGTCTAGCATTGGCTGGCTCCAGTCACTTCTCACTGCGACTTCAAAGCCGGCTTCTTCGAGTCCTACTCCTAAGCATCCCATGCCTGAGCAGACTTCTGCGACCCTTCTGACATCTCGCACATTGATGCAGGGCTTTGGGAAAACCTGGGTTTCATTGTCAGCCCCCAGTGTTCTGTTGTCTAACACACATGCATGGACAACCAGGATGATAGTGGTATCAACTGGCAGTTCACCTCGATATCTCAAAAATTGTCCCTTGATCGCCGTCTTAACCAGATGGCATTTTTGGATCTTGTCGTGCACAGCTATCTGAAGTAAGCCACTGTAGGGCAATCCAACATCCAAAGGGTCATCCAAGTGAAGGTCAATCATGGCATCACTGACCGTCCCAAAGTTTCGATGCTACAGTGCTACTACTGGAAAGGTTTGGGCCACGGCACTGTGTCATCCTTGCACAGGGGCCATGCTAATCTTCTCTGTATCGTTCCAATTTTATCGGATGATCCCCGAAGGGAAGAACAATAGTACCTTTCCAGTTGAGATCCGTGGGGAAGAACAATAGTACAAGCCAGCTATATATAATATAATATAATATGTATATTGTATATGTATAATATATATATATATAATAGGATTATAAATTATTTGGTTATAACATTCTGTAACATGTTGTAAACACCTGAATGGGATGCACCCCACAAATCCCCACAAGTAGTTGTGGTGGCAGTGACCACGCCACCATGAAAAATAACAGCCATTGGGAAAAAAGAACTATGTGCCCACAGATTGGAGCGCGTCGCACATTTGAACCATAAAAACTCGATATTAAATCAGATTGAATCAGATTAAATCCATTACTACGTCAAAATATATAAGTTATAAAAGTCATAGTATTAAATCATATTAAATCCAAATCAAATCCTGTAAATCTTCTATGGGTCTATGGGATGAAATTCGGAGCCAAGACGCAGCATCAAGCATGAGGCTTTGCGTAATTGGGCAGCAGAACTCATGCGGAACTTGACCGTCTCGTGGCTGCAGCACCGCCAGGAAGTCCCCAGAATGTTTCACCTGCCCGGAGCGCCATGTTCATCTCAGGGATATCCCCGTGATGGCCGTTTCCAATATCAATGACATCTGTCGGTTGGGACATGTTGAGAACATATTGCATGATATTTCTCGGCTTCAATAGCTTAGAAGGAAGTGTGTATGTGTGCATAGCGTACATAGAGTGAAACCATCGATGGTTTGTGCATGCTTGTGCGTTTACTTTTATCCTCTTTGACTGATATTCTCGCTATGGATTTCACCCCCAAAAAAGACCAATTCTTGGACGCGGCGCGATCATGTGAAGGTGTTCCTCTGAGACTCGTCCACTTCCACGCAAGAGCTGGCACAGCTGCTCAAGGATCATTTGGGGTTGACCATGGCCGGCCACACCAGCAGCCATGCACTGCCGCAAGTAGTAAATACCGGGGTGATGGTCAAATCTGCGCACCAATGCGTTCCTTGGGAACGCGATCGGGTGTAATCCAGGACCTGTTCTGCCACCTTCAGAAATGCCATGATTCCAGGACATGCTGCCACATATCTCTAACCTCAACACTGCCTCGAATTCAACTGGCAATCATACGGCTACTACACGGCTTGGATTTGTAAGGTTCGCAACTAATCATGCACAAACCTCACAGTTTTCGATTGTACAATTGAATATTCAGGCATATTCAGGCTGACACATGAATCATCAAGAAAGTTGAGTGGGCTAATGCACGCGCACTGCACATACGTTCGCCTTGAACAGTTGGGGGTACAATCCAATAGTTGCACTCTGAGCCGACGAGTTACAACAACTCTTCCGACTCATCTCTTGGAGGCCCAAGTTCCCACATGGAAGTTTCTTCTTCGGCCTGACGACAGCCAGCTGCTGGTCTCCAAGTACATATATATATATAAAGATTGATTATTGATGATAAAACACACTGTATATACATCTTTAGAGATGACAATCTATGAGCTGGCAAAACCTTAGTCTTGAGATGTCATAAGCCCATCACAAACAAGGCACTTCCATCAGTTTGCGCCTCTTCAATCGCCCGGTCTGTTGGGAAAGAAGATTTGAGACACATCGAGTTGGAGGTGTCCAGACAAATGATCACCTCAGTGTTGCAGCTGTTGGCCCAAAATGCGATCTAGCGATTGGCGATTGCTGAGGGAAATGCGCAAAACTATATGTGAGATATTATGTTAATATGCGCAATATGTGTTTCCACCAAATCCACAATTGGAAAAAAATCAACATAGCATTTCATTTTTTCTCCTGATCAATATCCACAATACAGGATCATGAGGGTATTGCCGCTCCATGGTCTCAAAGTTTAGGGAGCTTGTCCCTGCCCTGGTTCCGGAATTCCACCCTGAGATCGTCTTTTATCCTTTCAGGAAGACACTCCACACTACAATGAGCAAGTCAACCCTCTATACATTTTCAATGTGCGAGTGGTCTCGAACAATGATTGCAAGGGGTCCCGGGAGCCAGTGAACAAAGCTGATGAAGAGGCTAGAAGCAAACTACGAGGCTGATGATATGCATTAGCAATCACCCTTATCAATCCCAAGGTGCATTGAAAACATGAAGGGTTCGACGTTTGAAGTGATAGGAAGCTTACAGCCTTCCAGATCGTTGCTAAAGACACGTGGGACCTAGTCCAAGCACAACGAGGAACCCCTTCTTGAAGCTCACGGTCATCCCGATGCTCCGAATCCAAATGAGCCATGTCCTTTGCCACCTCAGAGGAACAAACATCGTCAAAACGCTTAGATATGCTTAGATGATCTTAGATGGCATTGCATGAGGTCGGATCATAGAACTGTTCCAAACCGCCAGTTTTGAAAAAAGACAGAGCGGCCGCCTCCAGCCACCCAGCCCCATGCCTGGTCCAAGTCCATGTGCGCTTCACTACCCTGCAACGGCGAGAAGATCACGCAATGCCCGGCGCCACTGGATTTGCCATGACCGGTGAAGACCACCACATGCCCCTCCTGCGGATCTGTAAGGGGGATAGGTTCCCGGGTCTGCACGACACCGCACCGCAAAGTGCCATGATTGGTACAAGCCCCTTGGGAGCGGCCACCCAGGGTCATGAATCATCCCTACCCCAGTGACTAGGATCATGTGCAACTAGTGACCATATAATGGCAATATGCGCATGCTTAGAATATCAGTCGGGCAATTTTATTTTAGCTTTGTCATGGAAAATGGTGAAGTTGATCAAGTTGGCGAAGAGAACAAACAAATGGATGTGCTGGCCGAGTCCTACCGAAGACCAATCCACACCTCAGCCACCACGATAGTGAAACAAATAAAACGGTGCTGCGAAGCAGCCTCTGAAAGAGAATCCCTCACAGCATATCCTAGTCCCATTCATCATATTTCACATTGTTGGGTATAGAGTATATTATAACCTAATAATTCCCATTACTTACCCCATTACCTACGCAAAACATACCTGAGCACTCCTTCGTCCGTGTCAACTTGGGAGGTGAATGACAATTCCTTGGCACGGCGACCAGCGGGGAACTAATCCAGCACCCTCTGGTAGTCAAGAATGGCAATGGCAAATCCCACCATTTCTCTTTGATCTTCCCATTAAAATTAATTTAATAATCATTTATAGGATGCAGCACGCTATCGACTTTCCACTCAGCATCTTTTGGAAATTGAATCCAAGTTCAGAAGCCGACTGCCAAATCTACTGCACAATCTTCTGCTTCTTCCACATGTACCATGGTATAAAGAGCCAAAAGAATAAATTTCCGTGCAATAGTTGTCCGAAAATCTGCCAAAACCCCAAACAATTACCCCATTTTCAGACTGACCCATATGACCAAGTCTCTTGCTATTTTTCATTGAAATATTATAGGAATTACAGACCCGTATGACAAATCTTAATTGATCACCAAGTCTCTTCAATGACAACGCGCCTATCAGCTTCAAGCAACTTGATGTTCCCGATGTGTCCTCCTTGCCGAAAGAGATTCGCAGCTCCGTCCAGGTGGGAAAAGATCTTGCCTCAGGCTGGAGCAAGGACATTTAAACATAATTTATAGAACATGTATCAATATGTGCGTATAAATCATTATGTGTATAAATACAGTATATATGTGGAGGTTTCCTGAGTCATGGGGGTACTCCAAATCATCCAAGTCATTAGACCATGACTTAGTATTGAAGCCCATGGTTTTGGGGATCACCTATTGACAATTTAAGCATCAATTCAAAGTACAATGTGGTACCACCAGTTATAAGTTGGTCTATCCCCATAAACTGCTTCATCATCTACCTTCAAGCAAGTTATATCATGGTTATATAATCTATGGTGGTTGCCTATCATAGACCCATGGTTTATCATTAAAAACAAAAACATCATAAATATCATGTTATCATAACATAAACCCATGGTTATTATCTCCACCAAAGAAAACTATAAATACCTATGCTGGGGCACCGCAAGTCAACCGGCCTGGAATGGCCTGGAGGCCGAACCAACCATCCAGAAAATTCTCTGGTAGACATCTCAAGTGAACTGTAAAGCGAGGTGCATGCAGATAGAAAACTATTTATATACATATATATATGTATGAGAAACATGGGTAAACTATCTTTACAGTAAATAGTCTTTGAAGTCTTTGGACGTGCTGGGTATAGTTCTCATATGGCACCTACCCTGCGCAGTCCATGGTTGGTACCCACTGTCATCCTCAGTGCGACTTAGCGACTGAAAGTGCAACTGCGTCACCATCGGGTGTCTGGAAACTCAAGACCAGACATGCCTCATTTGCCCGTTTGTCCACAAAGGCGCCGGGCCACTGAATTTGGGACATAGAAGTCTCAGCTTTTGAACAAAACAATGAACAACATATGACGCCCTAATTGTGGTTGCGGGCTGCCGTCTCTATAAAGATCCCCCTGATCGGCTAAATTCTGACATGATGTGAAGCATCCTCCAACACACGATACCCCGTTACGTGGCAAGACTCGCTTAATGGGCTGAAGATCTTCACCAAGCGGGACATGTGCCTCAGTTCAGCAAGCGAACAGAAGTAAAGCTCAATGGGGGCATTAGCACGTTCAAAGCTTGGCGCCCCACATATAGACAAACCCATTTGAGCACATTCTATCGACAAGGCTGGTGTGAGATGTCGATTTCTTCTAGGGCGCTGTTGCCTAGTGCCATTGCAAGTTAATGGGTATGATGGGCCTTTGTGGCTAAACTTCAATGCCCAGTGACATAGCGTCTTGCAAATCCTGTACTGCGCGAGTGCGCCAGTAAGCCTGATGTAGGGGTTTGTTTGAATCATGCTAAAACCCCAGGAAACTGCAGATCATCAGGGAAAGGAACAGAAGGGAACTACATATGGCAACTCTCGGAACGTTTAGCATTCACTTTTGAAGTACGTTGGCAAACACATAAATACGGTTGTTACAGTGCTCATACTATCTATCTATATATATATATCTTGTACTAAGATATTGTGGATATTGTGCCTTTGGACAATGTTGATTTAAAATTCAAACATGGTGATTTACGGGATTTGGATACAACCCCCTACATCCCCTCACTGTATCTTGACTTGTCCAATGCTGGATGGGGTTGATGCTTTTTGTGCTTCCAGGAATCGAAATTATGACAAGGCAAACATACTTAAATGTAACAAAAATGGTGACTGAGCAAAAGAGGAACTTCATCCAGGTGGAAAGTGGTCTCCATATCAATCCCTGCTTGAAGCTGAGAAATCACATGTTCCGCAGCGGATCGGTTGAAGATCATCTCTGGCTGGTCCAAGAAGTAGGCTGGCTCCTGGACTCACAAAACGGGGGCAAATGGTAGGCTTGGACCTGGAACCCCCTTGACAGCACACTTGGGAAGATGTTGCAACTCAGAGAATATCAGTTTAAGCATGGATGAAACTGCCGCCAACATACAAGAACAGTGAGGTATCAAGCAACGAGCTTCCCAATCGACAGGACACCCACATGCAGAGAAGAGGTTTTGTGGTGTCAGTCAAGGGGTTTGGCAAGAACCAAATTGCAAACTGCATGTTTGGAGATTCTGTGACTTATGTATACAAAAAAGGGCAAGCTTGCTGAAAAACAGGAGGATCGTCAAGAGGTTCCAACAGTAAGAGAAGTAGATGAGTTGGATAGAGCGGAGGACTTTTGTGCAAAAATGTGTTAGATATACCAGAGAGCATCAAAAAAATAAGCAGGAACAGTGTGTAGCACATGTCGATTATGGATACTTGGAAGAAACAAAAACCGATTGTCGTTCCGTGTGCGTATTATCTGCCCTTTGCTTGGCAATCTATTAGATTTCAAGGTTTGTGAACGAATGACATGCTCTGATCCTTGTAAATGGCGCAAAGATGCGCAAAGCAATTCATTGCAGATGGTTGCAAAGCAGCTCTTGCTCCCCTTTCAGAACACCGAAACAATTGCGGAATGGTCATCACGATGTTACAAGGATGATTGCATATCCCAATATATTCCCATGACCTTATCAGGGTGCATTTACCCCATTAATAATTATAATATGACCTGACCAATGTTGGAAACTTGCCTTCGGGCCGACACAAAAATAAAAAGGAACACAATCGACCTTGACCTGGAAGCGTTTCAATATCCATCTTCGGAGATTTGCTAGTTCACTGCAAGGGGAATGCGTGCCAAAACATGCATATTCAGCCACGCAATGCAGATCTTGCCTGCAACGGCTCATTCGTGATGCAGCACAACAGCGTCTTTTCCACCTACAAGGAGCGGGGACGCTTCACAAATTTTTGGGCAGTTTTTGAACTGCATGCTCGTTGATGTTCAAAAGTGTGGAGTGATGAGCAAAAAAAACTGTGTGGTTGAACCTGGTGCTACATTTTCCTCATGTTGGTGATAGACATGTCTAAATCCTGTGTACGAATCCGATATTTTTTTTCAGCGCAACACCAAAAAGACAAACTGCTACCAATGGCCACAGCTAACCTGCCCTGCCAAACCCTCGCCTGGGTGGGTGCGTTGATCTCCTCATCTGAAGATCGAAGGAGATAGGACAGAAGGATCCTCGCATGTTCGAAGAGTTGCCCTTCCGGATGGTCCTACAGGAAGATACCGAGCGAACTATAGCTGATGACGGTGAACAAAACATGCAGCCCTACAAAAAGATGTGCCCCAGTACCTCCACAATCCCCTCTCATCAAATCTATAGATACATATCAAATACTCTGCATATATATATATATGTACATATATATAAATATATTTATATGTATAAATATATATATATATCATTGTAAATCTACATGCCTGCACATTGCAGACTGTAGCGTTTCAAGATTGTCATGCATCATGATACAGCACTACAGCTGGCGCGTCTGATCTATGTAACACCCGTTTTTGGCGTCAACTTCTTGAATCCTGCTGGAGCTTTGGCACAGTAGATGACTCGGAGAAGTGTCTATACCTCTTGTTCTAAGCTGATTCAACTTCCATGTGTGGGTTGCCCGGCTCAGATGGACACACGTGAGCTGTCTTTAAAAACACACTGCTGTTTGTCGCTTTTAACTGGCAGCCTGGACCTACCAAACATGTTTGCGTAGCTTGAAACCATCACAGCATGTAAGTGAAACAGATCAATATCAGCCCTGAAAACTGAATCAAACTCCTCTGGTTCAGTCCCCCATCCTTGGGGGCGATGGCTTTCAGCATCTGGAAGAAACCATGGGCCACAGCAGCCTTGTCGGCCTCTGTAATCTGTCGACCGCGGCCGTCCAGTAGAAGTGCAAGGCCAAGTTGCAGCGGTGGAAAGGGAAACAGCCGCCACGCGGAAGAAAGCAAGGCCTGAGGAAAAGGAAGCTCCTAAAAATCGGTCAAAACAATTCAGAGTGGCAGAAAATCTGAAGAACTGGCCAAACAATGAAACTAAAGGTTGTGAACCCCACCGATTGTTGAACCAAGATCCAATATATGATGACCCGAACTAGAAACATTCAACCAAAATGCAATTGAACCCCCTACCACCTGGGCATCACGACGGAACACATACAGAGGTCATCAGTGTATGCAGCAGCATGCACTGACAACCCACCCCTCAAAGCTGCCTGCTTGGTGGACTCAGGCTGGGCAGAAAGGACCCACAGGCTGGAGAGCAAGCAACTCAAACCCTCTTCTGTTTGAGGCCTGCATACATGATCATACATGCAACCATGATGAGCAGACTGTTCAGAGGAGGACGTGCTTGGGCTTTAGGGGGTGATGAGCTTACACACACAAAAAAAAAGCAACTACTTGCTCTTGAGCTTGTATGTATGTGAAGCTGTCTCCAAACTTGCATCAGACCCCATTGTTCCAAGCTAGCCTTTGGCAACAGAAAGGCGTCTGTTCAAAGTGGCCAATCAAAAATGCGCAGCGACTTCAGCTGGGAATCTACCTGGGGCTAATCCATGTAGTCAAAGCTCTAGGAGGTCTGCTGGATGAAATTTCAGTTGGGAGTGAGTGAGTTGGGAGTGTCTACAAATAGCTTCATTATAAGTCCGCTTCAGGTAGATGAAACATCACTGGCTTTGACCCCAAGTGGCTGGCGACCAGGGACCAATCCCTTAAGAGTCCCTGCCCAAAATGCCTGTTGACCACTTGCCATGATTCGTCTGCTGCAAAGAGCGTTATGCGATCCTCCGAAGGTCCGGTCGGCTGGCTTCTGTAGCAGGGGCCCATAAAACCTGAGACAAGTCAAGGGCCATAGGGATGTGTGACGAAACCAAGACTAAACTGCACATCACAGCGGAAACTTCGTGACTTGTGATTTTCTGCCCAGTTGGCCTAACTCAACAAAACTCCACATATTGGATAGCACCACGCACTGAGTACTGTAGTGCTATGGCTGCATGGTTCTGTGTTTGTGTTTTTGTTGCTTTTTGCTTGGTTTTGCTTTGGGTTCAATGGGGGCATTCGGTAAAAAATCATATGGATGGTTTGGCAGTTTGGCAGTCTGGGATGTTGCATGGGCGATCGAAACCTTAAGCTGGGACTACCCAGCCACCACGCGGCTGCTTCATTTCCTCACAGGCACAGATATTTCTGGTGCCGCCTGAAATGTTTGCTTTGTTTTGGGTGGGTGTTTGCTTCCCTACATCCTACCCAATTCCTGTGAAAGATTTGCTGGAGCTAGGTTTTTGCCTTTTAATTCATGCTCTCTCCAGGCTGCTATCATCAATTAATTGTCAAAAGAAGATGGAAGCGAATGACTCTACTTTGGTGCGATGATTGCTTACTATATCCATTCTGGTAGACACAGATGTGGCGCAGGTTTTTTTTGCTCGAGAGGGCAAAGTGGAGCCGTGCGTACACCAATTCGGCGCTCAAATAGCTAGCCCCGGCCGATGACCCTTCCTGTTGTGGAAAACAGATCCGGCTGCTCGTAGCAGCTTCGAAGTCACAGTTGCATGGTTCTGAGAAAATGGTCAGCGCACAAGTCAAAGCCACAAGTGAATGGGTGGATAAATGGCTGACGGTTTGCGAAAGTTCATCCATAAGGTGCCAAACATCTGATGTCTGCAATCAGTCTGCAAGGAGGAACATCAATCTGACAGGAACATGAAACGACCCCCATGTTGAGATTGAAGGTTGGGAGATGCCAGAACGCACCACCTGCGCTCTCATCGCCAAGAAGCTACATCGTTGTGTGACCTTGTGGAACCAGCTGTTTGTTCACAGGATGGCATGTATACAGAAACCCTCTAAATCGCAAAGCTGTGGCGTGGCACAGGATGCGAATGCATTGCTTTTCCACAAGCAGTGCATGTGGCCCGCTCTTTTGGGGGCATTGACAGACATACCTATGGATCCTGTATTGTATCAAGTGGGATCCTCCTGAACATCTGGTAGAATGGTACAGGCTGTTCGCTTGATTCTGGAGTGATCCTGAGGCTAGCTGTCAACAAGCAAACACCTTTTTTTTCAGGCAAGTCACATAAAGCACCTCACCCTCAAGCAGCATATCTTCACATCTGTCTTCTGATGGAGTATCCAAGCCTCGTTGCACCATCAAATCTTGAAGGCTCCACGACACCTACAACACATACCTGCTTACTCAAAAGAAGCAGCCACCGTACCAGTAAAGTACCAGTACTGCACCAATACTGTACCAATACTGTACAAGTACTGTACCAGTGTTTCCTGATGCTCATGTGTAGCCTTGCGATGAGGTTACAGTAAAACTACTGGTGAAAATGGTACAAGTGCTCAGAACTTTCCAGGTGAGAGATGAATCAGGATTGACAGGATTGATCAATTTGAAAAAAACTTACTGTACCTTAGGTAGGCCAAGTTCAGGCGACCAGCAGTTCTTGATAGACGAGCGAGCAAGGCACGGTGCGTCGGAACCCAGAGATCCAACAAGACGTAGCTTTCCGCGGAAACAGAGACCTTGGATCCACAGACCACCAGCACATGAACTTGAAACAAGCTACTTTGATGAGTGTCAAACGACTCATGTGTTCTGGCTGTTGCCTGACTGGTGTTTTGCTGAACAAATAGTCGATTTGGATCATGATCGCAGGTTGGACGGCATGTCACATTCTCAAGTCATCAATGAAATAAATCAGCCATGATCAGCCAAGGGTAGTGGACTGGTTCCTACTTTCAACAAAGCCAAGCTACAGTCACCTCTGCTTCCACCTGAACACCGTCTTGAAGCTCACCCAGCATCACTGCATCGTACCGGTAGAGACCTGGAGTGAAACAGAAACCATGTGAAAGCCATGGGATTGGTAGATTCTGCTGCTGGCTTCAGCTGTCAACCCGCAACTGAAAACCCGAACCATCAACAAACAAATACCTTTCCTTCACAACAAACTACAGCAAACGTCACAATGTCAAAAAACTCTAAACATCTGCGCAGGCACAGAATGACTCCTAGGTAGAATTGAGGCTGGAAACTAATAATCTTTGATGGGGGTAATCTACAAAAGTTGAAGCCCCCAACGAATGACCTGTCAATGGTGGATCACTCCCAGCCTGTTTCATCTTTGACCCGCAGCTTGGAAGGCAAAATCCGCCATTCGCGGTGCAGCCTGAAATGGCTCTGCTGTAGGCAAACCTTGACGTCTATTGCACAAATCCAGTAAGCCAAGGCCACCCGCAGTTTGGGGGACAAATCGTATCCCCCACTCCACTTGTCCTAAGGATTTCATTATGTAGATGTTTCGGATAAACTACTGGATGGCAATTCCGACGTTGGCTCTCTGGAACCTCCAGGAAGCCAAAAGAAGAACACAGCACTTGAGACCGTATGTGTTGACCCAATCAAACGTGGATGTCATACAACTTTAGAATCGAAACCTTGAAGATTGACTCAGCATCGTCAACTTATGATTAAAACCTGTCCGATTGTACCCTGTTGGCCCTGTTGCATGTTTCTGTGCTCAACTTGAACTGAGACAATCAACAAGAAGTTACCTCTTTCTTGGTGATTGTGATCTCGCCTCCGACTCAACCCTCTTAGGAAGAAATTATCCCTGCACACGGCATCAGCATCGACCCCGGTGCACTTGGTGCCAAGTTGCGAACGTTTCAAATCCCAAATGGTGTCGCTGCTGCTCATCTTGCGCTTCACTGGCGGCTCCCCATCCGGACCATGGCAGGTCACTTGCATTGACCAAGGATGCGCGCCCCTGGGCAGTTTGAAAGTTTGAGATGGCGCATCCGATTCCCTGAAAAAGCCCAATGAATTCAGGGCACCTACATCTACATCTACATCTATATGCACTTCCGGTCGGCCAACTCAGCAAAATGGATGACCTTGACGGGACTAGGGATCCGCCATAAATAGGGGGTAACAACGCATTCTAGCAAAGTATATCTGGAGCAATGGAGCATGCTCCACAACACACGCATCCTGCCTCTCACAAAGCGAAAAAACGGGAGGTAGAACTTCAACCACCTCAGAATCGGAGGACTCATGTGATTTTATGGCGCACCTGGGAAGATTCGTTGTGAAGACATCTGGGATGGTCGCCGGTGGATGCTGATTGATCCTAAACATGAACTTATCGACTGAAGTTCCTGCCAAGCAAGACTTTTGTACGAGCATTATATCCCCCATGGCCAAACAAGACAGCTACCCGAGCTTTACCTCGTAAATCATCCAGAAACTGGATGAAACCTTTATGAGATCACCTATGTGAAACCTTCTTAAACCTGCTATCTTTTGAAATATCGAGGCACTGCCGCTTCATCATCATGGGTCACCCCATGGCTTCGTAGCAACAAATTTCGACAGTCAGAGCCTGTGAGACTCGCGGCAATGGACTTGAACTCTTTTACCTTCAGTCAATCAATGTCATAGGGATGACGCGGCTGAGAGAGTGCACAGAAGTATGAGCACATATGAGCAGTGAAAAGGAAAACAAGCAGGAAAAGTGGCACATCCAGAAGGTTTCTTTCACACCACAGGAAGGTCTCAAATACACACCTCATCCTACTTTAACCAAGACATGCCAAGACCACGGTCCTGTGAGACCTGTGTAGAAGACATCAGTGAATCATGGTCCGGTGCATTCAATGGGCCTAGTCACTCCTGCCCCAGCTACACTGGCGTGCTAGACATGTGGCAGTGATACCAGGCTTGATGTCAGTGTAGATACAGGTCGCTTCACCAGAAGCTTGCAGCACCACAAGCAACGCTTCGCCAGCTTCGGCTGTGCTGTTCTTCTTCTCTGGATCTTCCTGAGGAATGGATCGACCCAAAAAACTGGGGCTGGAAAAGGCAGGAATAGTCTTCCACACCAGCACCACACTGTTGGTATGTTGGTATACTTGTTGGTTTTGGCAAACTACAAGTACCCTGCTAAGTACATTGTCGAACCAGGCAAATATGTGCAAGGGAAACATGGACCTGCACGACATGGACAACAAGCCATCTTGAAGAAGAGGGGCTAACACTGGCAAACACATATATATCATACGACCCCATCAGAAATGTCGGCCAAACACCGCACGCTGTAGCTGTTTCGCCGAGTCTCAAGGTAATGCCATTCCCCACGGCAAAAAGGGCACTGATGTTTCCCGTCAGCTTGAAACGAGCCCAACAAGCACTGGCCGTGGAAGAAGTGCAAGCACTGACGATTTCCAACCACAATGTCCCCTGGCACACAGCCTCAAATAATTTTTGAGTATGCGCCTGGAATCACAGGCAAGTTTCCTTGCACGTGGGTTTGGATACTAAACGCTTGGTATGGTATCCTGGACCAGCCGGGAGTCACGAAATTTCCTACTTTTGGCAATCTAACTCGACATTGTTGTGCAGTTAGACTGACTGGCAAAGATTGGACTCTATTTCACCAGTTGAATCAAAGCGCCAGCCGCGAAACACCCAGATGACATCTATCAGAAAGCGATTGTGACCTGGATTTTTTTTCGCAACTCAGATCTGCCAAGGAACTTTCTGTTAGACTTGTCAAACAAATGGAGCATATCTCTGCGGTGCACAGATCAGCGGCCCATCGCTGTGGATGCTCCTCTTGCAGGAAGGCAGCCGGCTCAATCTTCAAGGCGGATTCATATCCTGGGCTCCCACCATGTCCCATGTGGGCAATGTCCTGAACTCACCCTGAATGTCCTGGCCTTTGTTGGTTTTATCGAAACGCAATTCAGGGTGAGTTCAGATCAAGATATTGCAGTCAATATGCCTAACAACCTACCAGACAAATTTCTACTTTGTCCTAGGCGTGTAAAATTCAAACACATGACTTTTCACCCATGCCTTTACATATCGCTATCTCGGTTCAGATTCCTCAAACCACAATGACTTTTGTATGCCAAGCATCCCCACATTTTCAAATGCCCGTTGGCTGTGGCGCAAACACAGCCAGTGCCCTTGCAGCTTCCAAAAGGCACAGCGATGGCACAATCTTCAACACCATCTTCCCATGCTGAATAGATGATACCCTCAATGTCTGCAATCTGCTTGGCTAAGCCCAATGTACAAAGCTCTGCATCTACTTTCACCTGAGCGCCAAAGAATGGGACTTGGGATTTGGAACCGTCGTGTTGTTAGCTACTTCAAGTTAAACACCTGCATTTGGAATCTTTGGAACCGAATATCCTTCCAACTAAGACATATCTCGACTACCCATAAATGATCATCTATGCTTGGATTGTGGAAACAGGGGTGCTCTAAGGCGATGAGGGCACCCTTGTCACCGGTTCGAGGGCTCTTCCGGAAACGTGCTTGGCCAATGACAACTGTTGACTGGTGACATCATAGGTTTCAATCACATGCTGCAGGAATACTGTATCCTGCATTGGAATCTTCCTAACTATATACTCAGGACAGAAAACATCTCTGCCACCATGGCGCCTAGCTCATGCACAACTTCTTCGTTTGGTTGGGAATAAAAATCAACACATTTGCATACATATGTATAGCAGAAAATGTGTGACGATAATTTTGCAGCACCAAATCTCCAAACTTGATTTGTTTTTGGTACTACCAAACCCCTGGGCCAAAGGAGAATGGCGACAATGTCCCGGGACTCTAACTGGATGCGACTTTTTTTTGTGGGAACAACCATGCCAAGGCTGTCAAATATGTTTTTGGCATGCCCTAAACAAAACATCCACGCCATGTGCCCCACACACGCAACCAGTCACTTCCGCCGGGGGCTTCCCTCCGGCCAAACGCTCAATCGTTTGATACTTCACTAAGACCTCGCGAGCAGCAACAGCTTGGAGCATTGGATTCAGGAATAGTCATAATGATATGTCTTCAGCAGGGAAGAACAGGATCAGTGGAAAACATAATGTAACTCTTCAGCAAGTAGTCAATCATCTTCACGGCCTTGGGTTTCTGAGTCCCTAACTAGGGCCACCAGGGACCTAGGGACACACCTCTCAGAGTTTTTCAACTGAATGAAGAAGAAATAACGCCCTGATACCTTGGTGAACACTACATAAGAAAGGTTCCAAGCAAGTATGTCGGAAATTTGAAGCAAACCTGACCTGACCTAAAAGTGTCTGCTGCCTTTGTACTGTCTGAACATGTCTGAACCCTCGGACCTAGCCCAACATTTGCACCTGGCCTTCCCATCACCATCGGGATGCACCGGTGTATCAGCCACAATCGGCGCAATGGGCGCGTGCGATTCACACGTGTTCACGCCACCTGCCACAGCCTCCGTGTCAGGGGCATCGACCGACGATGAACAGCAAATGGCCCAAACGCCTTCATCAGGGCCAAGCAGCCCTTGCACCTTGGAAATGCCAACAGCAAGGCACCAACGATTGGAAGCAACTTTACACATGGACCCGCTAATTCATGACTATCTAAGGGAAACCAGATTGGAGAGATGGTGCGCATATAGAGGTGTCCCAAGTTTACCCAGGCTTAACTATGGCCTATGGCATCCTATGGCTTCCTGGGATCCGGTGACCAGGGAACTTAATGTTCATTGGCATCTGTTGTCTCTGTTCTGCTGTTTCAGAAATGCTGTTGAACTCAATGCTTTGCAAAAAACAACTCCAATCTTTTGGCGGACGCGACATAACAAGGAACAATGGAGCCTTCCCGAGACTCACTGTCAGGAACCTCCCTCAATGATACTGAGATTTCCAGCGTGCTCTCAATGCATGTCTCATGTCACCAAGTGAATCCAAATTGTGTTCCTTTTAGCAAGTTTATATAATATACTCTTTTGCTAAATACGTGTACGTCATTAAATCACTGAGTTGGTCTTCAAGGCCGCCAAGGCACACAATCATCATCCAAAAGAGCCCCTTTGCTGGACCCTTGTCGCAGCTTTACCACTTCAAATTGCTGCCACCCTTTGAGTTTCTGCACACGCCGTTGCGTCTCCATTCTCAACTCAGAAACTGTCCTTGGTAGCTACTTAGTGGCAAGATGGTGCAAGACGACTTAGATTTGCGCCGAAATGCGGTATACCGGTATACATGGTATACATCAAACTGTTAAGTTCAATTGGACACGTTGTGAACAACCTGTGGGTGATCCGAGGCAGTTTTAGGGTGATCCTATTTTTGGACAGACCCAAATCTCGGGGATCTGCGTGTGAAAAGTTCAGCGTCTCAGCCCAAGGCTGGTCATCTTCACCGCCCTGGCTAGTTTGGATACAAACTATACCTCACCATGCAGGACAAATGTCATTGGATAATCGGAGTCTGGCGCATGCTGAAACTATCTATAAGTATCTATTAAAGTATCTATATAATTGGACGCCTAAAAATAACACATATGATCAAACATGAAATCAATGTTGCACATCTCTCTTGATACCTTTACATTTTATTGAGGGAGCCCTCCAGTTCTAAAAGACAGTTGCTGAGGGGTTCCCACACACAGAAGTCCAGCTCAAAAACCGGCCAAGGTGAAGGCTTTGAACAGCGTCACCAACTTTGAGAAACACGTGCTTATGGGGGGATGGTTGTCATTCGCTGTGATAAATCCATAACGAATTGAACATAATTGAACCGTCCCGCAGAAACAAAAAGAAATGTGCTAGTGGAACTCAACTCTTCAATGCTTGGGTCCTCATGGTTTGATGCTTTGGGTTACTGCTGAAGGGTCCTTCGACGCCGCCAAGCATCATGCCCTGCGAAATGGGCACCAAGAACACCTCACTGGCCTCAGGTGTTTTTCATCGGTGGTCCAGCTCCCTCCACTAAGTCTTAGCCCCGGAAGGAGGTATTGGATAATTATTGGTATTTAAATGTATTTACCTCCATCAACTCCTCAACTCTTCACTCTCAACTCTCAACCGCTGATCTGGGGGTAGGTTTTAATTTTGAAGTCCTTCAACTGCTAAGGGTCCATCTCCCGCCCAGAAAGGGCCAACAATTACAAATGCGCAGCCATCTGTCGAGGATCTTCGGAGTCAACCTGCACAACGTTGACTTCCAAGCGCATCATGGTACCAAGAACCGGTCCGGTGTGTTTCACACCGCGCGTTTCGTCCGGCTGCCGGAATGGTTTGTCTAACGGCAGCGGCCCCATTACATCCCATGCCCAACCCCACCATTGCGAGGCTTATCCCAGTGTAGCTCTGTATTTGTGTATCATCGATGTTTCCTTCCGGATCATTAGTTGTTATTCTTTTCAAGCCACACTCAAATTCAACTGTTGCTTGTTAAATCTGTGCGGATCTGTTTGCTAATTCGCACATTAACTGCCCATGTCACAATTACTATTGGGTTCTTTGTTCTTCCCATGGCCTGATAGTGCATTTGTCAGCACTGTCAATCCCAAATGAAAATATAATACCTGGGTTTGGTGCATAGGGGCAGGTCTTCTCAAAATCGTCATGATTCCAGGTAAAAATGGATTCCAACCTCCAACTGAAGAGTATCCCCTGCTCTTTAAACCTACCAGGATCTCATTAATGCGGCACACCCAGCCATAAACCGTTCCCAATTCACTAGAAACCCTCCAACATTGGAGGTGGAAAGCATTCGGTCAATCAATCTCACCCAAGTATGCCAAGTATCTTCCATTATCTTGGTGAAGTCCCAATTTTACATGGTGAAATCCACCATCATCACCACCTCCGGCCGATGCCGACGAGATTGTCCACCGCCTGGGAGTGGAAGACATGGGAGTTGCAACGGGAATGATCAAGATTGATCTGGTTTTTCCGACTTTTTTTGGTGGAATTCTACATTTTCATACATTTTCATACATATCCTATGTTCTTGGAGGTTGCCATAAAAGAGAGTCTAGAAGTGATACAGAAATTTGCTTCCGCGAGAACTCTCCGGCCTCGAGGCGGGTCTCCAGGATCCAGGATATCCAGGCCATATCATCTACCAGGTGGGGCCTGGGGCCCTCAACATGGCCATCTTGGTTCAGTTTCACCTGTTTCACCTGTTTCACCCCATGAATACTGCTATCATTGCCATACATGCTATTGGAGTTATGTGAACCCCAACCTAGCTATTGAAAAAAAGGCTCCATCTTGTGGATCTGGGCCACTTGAATTCTTGATATCACCAAGTGCTCGCGCATACCTGGCAACAAAAAGTGCAACCACCCTGGTTGAAAAACCTATATATTTATGTGGAAAAACAGTATGGTATTCCCCAAAATACCACCAAGTGGCCAAATTGGTTCAGGGCATGAATTACTGTTGGCCTTACCACATTCATCTTGGTTGATGACATGTTTTGTCGTAGTCGGACAAGACCAAATCCAGCCCGAAAAGTGGTCAGCTGGTGACAGTATACGTGCGGCCAGCAGAGGTTCGTCTTTTCAGTTCAACACATCGAGCATGCTGTTCTTCAGCATGCAAAGCCGTGATTCAGCCACCGATGTCAGGGGTGAGAGGACTTGGAACGTTGGAAGTTGCTGAGTCGAGGATTTCATCGATAGGGTCATCGATAGGGTCGACGTCTGATATCGCTGCCTAAAGAAACAATAAGAAACAATAAGAAACAATAAGAAACATGTACATCCCGTACGAACATTTGAATAGCAACATCACCAGATGCATCCCGTAGCATCCCTTCGTGCAAATGTGACGTAGAACATCCAAGCACTGTCTCGCAGCCTGGGGTTGGTACCGATCACTGGATAAGGGTGACTGGTATATTCTGATTTAGCAGATTTAGCAACAAAAAATGCAGCTGAAGCGTAGACACAAACAAACGTTCTCTTGCAGCTACATCCAAATGGATAGGTATTCTGTGGTCAGCTACGAGATCCAAATTCAATGCAAACTTGGTGACCAGCAGATTGAAGCTAGCAGGAAAAAAATGATGGATTTGCCTCGCGGGCCAAAATTTCATCACGATGATCGGCTTATCATGCCTACCAGAGATCAAGAATAGAGAGGGTTGAGCCAGGTAAGGGTCATGTCATTTTTAACTACCCAAAACTATACTTTCTCCAGGTAATCAATGTCATAAAATCAGAAGTTGCTGTCATAAAACCACCAAAATCCTTTATCTCCAATGTCTTCTCCAACACCATCTGGGCGCTTCAATCCACCGGCCGCCCCTCTTCGGCCGCATCTGCTTGGGGCCTAAAATTCTCAGCAACTTAGACAAACCGTTTGGTACAAGGGGATGCAGATACAAGAAACGACATCATATATATATATATTATAGTGTATATATATAAACATATACATTATATATATATATTATTGTTATTATTATTATCATTATTATTATTATTAGTAGTATCATTATATATTATTATATAAAGTACATATTATATGATATATATATACTAATATAGAGTACAAATTATATAAATATTATATATTACATAAAGTACATATTCTGAATATATATATATATATATTATAGAGTATAAATTATATAATATAGTATATGTGTATATTTATAGTGTATATATATATAGTATATATTTATACATAGTATAATATATATATATATACATGTATATGGTCATATAGTATAACTATATAGTAGTATAGTATATATATAAATATATATTTACATTACAGTATATAGTATATATATATATATATACATAGTATTATAGTATATATAAAATTTATATACCACTCATGTCCTAGATGATTGTGGCTCCGCATTGAAACCCATTGTAGGTATACCATCATGTCTATAGCATGTGACATAGCCACCAACCGCAACTGGTCCTGTCGATTCTGTCGATTCATCTCGTGTCGGCCCGACCAATCAGTGAAATGGGTCGCCCATTGCCGTGACTCAGATATCTTTCTCGTGGCATTAAGCCTCTGGCAGAAAGGCAGGTGACATATTTCACCATTGCGGTAGAGCATCATTAAAAAAAAAAATGGAAGATATACCATCTGGTTATTTAACATTGGAAAATCACCATGCTATTAAGTTCGGTAAACAATCTATTTCTATGGGCCATCTATACCATGGCTATGTTAGTCATAACCAGATGGTAGTGATCATCAACAGCAATAGAAACATTCTCCAATCCTGGATGCTAATCATTCAATCCAGAGAAATCGCTGGTGAAAATCCCATGGAAAATTGAAATTCTCTACTTGGGGTTGCAGTTGGGGTTAGTTCTATGACTATACAATCATGATGATAGCGACTCCATAAGATTGAATATGGGGCCCTTATACCTTATAACTGTGGTTGTATTTTACAAGTGGAATAGGTTGGAATGCAATGCCAAAAGACTATGGTGACAGCCCCGGTTCTCACCGTGCATATGTTTGGCCCGCAGCATCCGGACCTTCCACGATGAGCTCCGGTTCGGGACCACTCTCCGCTTCGATGTCAAAGGAAGGAGACTCCAAAAACCTGGCACCGGTGGAACATTTGGGGCTGCCGGCAGCAAAGAGATACCCTCTGGTGATTTAACATAGCAATTGAACATGTACCATTTATAGTGAGTTTTCCCATTAAAAATGGTGATTTTCCATTGCTATGTTAGTTTACCAGAGGGTATGGCCTGGAGGATCCCCATGGGAATTCAGTGGGCATGGCTTCTTGAAGAGCGAGGGTTTGTTTCTCGTTGAATCTGCGGGGATTTTTTTTAAACAAATCTTGGCAGTTGACCAACAGCCGGCATTCATGTCTTAGCAGCTATGGGAGGGCCATCCGAAGATCACTCAAGTGTCAAATAATTACTCTATAATGTCAACCCTGGATTAATAAACCCGTAGGCTGTGTAATTGGGAGAGTACCATTTAAGTATTAGATTAATTATGACTATTGGAGGAGTACCCCCCTAATTAATAAATTTAAACCATGGTTTATTAATCCGGGGTTGACATTATTACTCTCAGGTACCCAGGTATCCCGAACGCTGCCAAAGATATCCCCATGATCTCATGACATCCCCGTTATACCACCATTTTTGTTGCAACCCCCCCCCATGTTTGTTGGTTAAAACACAATGACTTCTCAATCAGTTACCCTCTGGTAAACAAACATAGCTATTGAAAATGGCCATAGAAATAGTTGATTGATTTACCCATTAATAGCATGGTGATTTTCCATAGTTAACTGTTAGTTTACCAGAGGGTATCCATTATATCAAATGATATTTGATGGTTTTGATGAATTTGATGCTTAAATCCCCAGGAAATCAATATTTTGAATAGGTAAATCAACTATAAATACCATCTGGTTATTTAAATATGGTTAGGTATCTACCATATAAACCATCCATAAACCCTAGCTATATCAGTTAACCATCCATAAACCATCCATAAACCATCCATAAACCAATAAATATGGTTAAATCCCCAAATTTCATCACCAAGTGGATGGACTGACCATCCATGACCATCCATGACCATCCCCTGTCGCCCAAGTGATCCCAAGGGCCTCATCACGTTGGAAGAGCTGAAGTCGCAACATGGCCTAACAACTTCAAATGATGGGACCAATGTATCTCAAGTATGTATTAATATATGTGTACGTTGATTGTGTATCACATTATATATATATATATGGGTCGGCATAATATGTATGTATGAGTTCATATATATATATATATAGATAGATATTATACAGTTAGAGTATCAAGGAAACAAACGCATCCACAAATGAACGTGTCTATGACCTGAATTTTCTCAACCTGTGGGCAGTCGCCACTCGCAAGGATCATGTCGAGCAACAATGTGATCACATGCCATCTTCGTCGTTGGGTTCATAAATCATCATCTAGAACTATTTCCTTCTTAGCCCCGGAAGTTTGGTTCTTCATTGCTTTCCACATTCCATTTCTTTCCGCTCGACTTTCAGGTTTCTACGCATTGGTTAAAAAGGGTTTTCCTACTATGGGTTGTCATAATCCACAATAACTGTCAATAAATTATGAATACATAATCCTCATATTAACCAATCAACCAGTCTATTTCTACTGGCTCACATCTTACACCGTTGGGGCAGCCAGCGGAGTAGGACTTTGCGGCACGGGGCTGTAGAAAGCAGGCCTAAGCCGAGGAACCGCTTACCCCATGAATACACAATGGCGTTCGATCGTTTCACCGTATACAGTATCATTTGCCTTCATATCAATACATTATCATGATTACAACAAAAATGGCTTAGAAATGGGGTATACTCTGAATATGTGTATATACACAATATGGATCAATATGGCATGTTTGCAAGTTTTAAGAGGACCATTATGATAAACGATGATAAACGGATATCATGGGTACCATGTACCATGTTCAGACATTCTCAACCCAAGTACGGTAGTTCACATAGCAGCACACTTAACTCAAATCGAAACTTGGCGCAACACCCAGGACTCAACGAGGTCGTTTCCATCACGTCGCGCCTGCAGAGTAGGGCAGCACTGAGTATGCACCAATTCTCATTGGTGGCGTCCACCAATCTGTCTAAACAAGTGGAGCGAAAAAATAATGTATAAAGTCTCAACCTTAATAAGTCCAAAGAAGGAAACATCCTGAAATATGACGAAATGTGATATGGTTCAAACAAACAAAACACCCTGAAGAATGGTATAGGTCAAAATTAGAACACCGTCCTTGCCAAAGATACACAAATAGACTGGCCAAAGCCTTTCTCAGAACCTTCATGTCAAACCATCTTAAAGACTCGTTGAAGATGGTGAAGATATGTAAAGATCCTGTTTTCGGTTTCTATATTGTTCAACATATTTGCTTAGATGACTGCAGACCATCTGTTTGAGTTGCCTTGGTTGCCGGGAAAAACCACGACGGTTGTGAGGATTGGTTAGCCCAATATTCTGACCCCAGCCCACAGTCATCGCAAATTGCTGTAAGCCCGAAAAGAAACCATTTTGGAATGATTCCCTCTACTAACCGCAAATTCTCTGACAGAAATATAATATTTCACTGCAATTCACAAACCTCAGGCGGTTTGTGAGTCTCACAAAGTCACGCAGTGAGACTTAACCCAAACTCGCAAGTACTGTAAAGGAACTTGCAGGTACAAGATTGACAAACATGAATTGAAGTCATTGTCTGAAACATTCTGAAACTGTGTTACTACACACTCTCATGGTTGTGCGTGAAAAGGTCAAACATGAACAAACTGTTGACTGGGGAGATTTTATCTACCATCTACAAATGATTAAATAGACTCTTCACACATCATCACATTATTAGTAATAGTAACGACATGATTATTGGTAATATACCAGCTACAACTGATTATATAAATATACCATCTACAAATGATTATTAGTAACATTTAGTAACGACTTTCCGTTCCCTGGTTTTCGTGTCTAGTCTCAATGCATCGAAGAAAAAAATCCTCTTTTTTATGGAGCTACCAGATCATCCCAGTGATGGATGACCGCTGGTTGCTGGTTGCTGGTTGACCTACCCCTCTGAAAAATCATGGACTTCGTCAATGGGTTTCGGATGACAAGCCATATCCCATAGGATCCATGTATGGTATATATGCTAACATTTGGGGTATATTCATGGTAAATGTTACCATATATAGCATACATGGATCCTATGGGTATATGAAATGGAAAATAATATAAAAGCCATGTTGTTCCAAACCACCAACCAGCTTGGTATTGATCCACAACCATTGAAAAACTTGGAGATCCTGCAGATCCACTGACGCCATGTTTCACCACAAAAAACACGCGGCCTAAATCGAGGCTCAGTGGAGCTAAATACCTGCGGATCTCGGTGAGGAAGCACATCTTTGTTACAATTTTTGCCAATGTTGGGTATATGTAAATTCATTTAAAAAAAAACTTAAACAACAACCATTACCATCCCTGCAACTCACATAGACTCAAAAAATGGAGATGATCTGTGTGGATTTATAGATCAATGGATATATATAATTATAGTTGAATATAGTTGGATATAGTTGAATTAAACCATAGATCAACTGATTTAAACCACTTTTAACCATACTGTGCCAATGATTTGACCGTTGAGATCCCTATGGATCCGGCATCCGCTGGCCGCCAGAGCCTCCTCTTCCGGTGGCATCCGCCAGAGCTGCCCCGAGGGGGGCATCGGATCTGAGGGGCGGTGAGGAATCCCTGTGGATATTTAAGATAGCCATGGTATAGATGGATCCCCATAAAATGGATGGTTTATAATGGGAAAAAAAACATGTTCACATGATTTGGGGGTACCCTCTGGTAATTTAACAAAAAGCTATTGAAAATGGCCCATTTATAGTGGACTTTCCCATAAAAAAATTGTGATTTTCCATAGTTATGTTAGTTTACCAGAGGGTAGCCATGGTATAGATGGCCCATTTATAGATGATTTTCCCAGCTAGAAACCTCCAGTTATGGTTGGGATTTTCCCATGGGCTATAATAGAAAATCCATTATAAATGGAGGTTTCTAGCTGGGAAAATCATCTGTATGTTAAATAACCAGATGGTAATCCCTATGGATCCAGCCATACCTTCTTAGGAACTGGGACTGGGGTAGAATTTTGGGGGTTAAGTACCTTCTGAGACAGTGTTTGGATCCATAGGGAATACTGTAATATAACATACTATAGACGAATCATATAATCATTAAGAATGATAAAACAAAAGGCTAATAATATGATTACATGTTCATTTATATATGATATTATGAAACATATATATATATATATATATTTGACATGACTGCAAAATCTAAAGTGTGAATAAGCAATCCCCGCAACAAAAATAACAAATATGAGGTAACCACCACATTATGTACATTGATGCACGTTGAATCACCGCAAACACGAGCATATCAAACCACTGGCTGAATACTATCTATGTATATGTATGATAAATTCCATAAATATGCACCAAAAGCACCCAGAACCTACCCCCAAGGATAAGTCTATACCCTCAGGTAGTCTAAGCTGGCAAACGATAATCCATGATAACCCCATTGCATTACGCCAAGGGCATTGTCCACCTATCTTTCTGACCTATCACCATGTACCTTTCACACGCATTTATTTGTGTCGGCCTTTCATCCATGCCACAGTCACATTGGTTCATATCGACATTGTTTGTTGTCAATCACACCCCAAAACTATGTTTGGAACCCTTACATCTCTCACATAACGACAGCTGTGGCCAACATACCCTGTCTTTTCCTAGGTAAAACCGACATTGTCTGTTGTCAATCACACCCCAAAACTATGTTTGGAACCCTTACATCTCTCACATAATGACAGCTGCGGCCAACATACCCTGTCTTTTCCTAGGTAAAACCGACATTGTCTGTTGTCAATCACACCCCAAAGCTATGTTTGGAACCCTTACATCTCTCACATAATGACAGCTGTGGCCAACATACCCTGTCTTTTCCTAGGTAAAACCGACATTGTCTGTTGTCAATCACACCCCAAAACTATGTTTGGAACCCTTACATCTCTCACATGATGACAGCTGTGGCCAACATACCATGTCTTTTCCTAGGTACATATCTATTGAATCTATTCAAATTCAACATTGATTCATTGGCTCATAAGATTTCAGAAGCTGATTTCCTCATCCCTTCCTAACCTTGATCTACTTAGCCACCAACAAAAACCCAAGCAATCCAGTGGATTCCCCTTGCTGGAAGAGAATTTTCCAGCCATCTGAAAATGATGTCCTTTACTAACCATCATTATTAACTGTAATAACCATCATGATAATAATCATTAAGGACATCATAACCATCATAACTATAAAATGGGTTGCCGTTAAATATAATAACCATCATAATAATCATCTGGATAATTTACTAACCATGATAATTTAGTTTTCTCTACCCATCTGGATCATCCCTGAGGCTCCCTGCCATAATCCCCAGGTGCCGGTGCACCAGGACTCACCGAACAACCTTGCCGGCCCTCATGAGCTCGACCTGGGAGTTCGAGGGGCGCCGAAAAAGGTCTGGGTTAGCTACCGAAAATAACCATGAACATCATATTATCTGAGGGTTAAACCATCAAATATAGTGGTATAATGGAATATGAATGGGGATACAACTGGAAATAGCAAACCTCTGGTTATTTAACAGTTTGCTATGGAAGCCATGGTCCATTTAGTTCGACAATGTATGAGTGATGTATGGTGATTTGATGTATGGTGATTTGCCTATTCAAAAAAATGTGATTTTCCATAGCTACGCTAGATAACCAGAAGGTATATGTAGAAAATATGGAGAACATTATACTTGCTGCATGTATGTGTAATATATGTACGCATTGGGCAATATTTTGGGTCAAGGTTTTTTTTATTCCATACATTGACCGTTTGGGATTGTAAAAAAAGCAACATATGAGCCATGGTCAATACTCACTATATGGTTGATGGTCATCCCATCCATAATAAGGATCCTTATAATGGTTATTATAATCCCTATAAACCATTGGATGACTAGCCCCTATTAATGGTTATTAACCATGAGTATTGACAATAGCTCATATGATTATTCTGTGGATAACGGATAAATACGGATGATTTAATGGACATGCGACTGTGCAATAGTAAAATGAATGATAATAGATGAGTATAGGTTACAAAGGATTATATTCAACTATAGTAACTACACTATAAATCTCTGATCAATTCTTAGACTGTACATGCAGGTGGACTTTGAAGTCAGGACTGACATGGACCAATGGAACACACCAGTTATGTCCAAGGTCACTACGAGGTGCGAACGAGATTCAATGGACTGACTTGACGCCCGCTGCTGTCTTGTCATGTCCGCTGTTCCCTTGTCTGTTCTTTCCCTTTTGATTTTCCTTTTGAATTCCGTCTCATGCCTTTTTGAGTTTCCTTCTGATTGTTTTTTTTTTTCTGGACCTGCACTTACCTTGCAATATCGGAGTATGGTGAGCACCTACCCCATGCAGCACAATGCTACCAAGTTATTGTGGGTAAAACGAACCACCCTCTACCCTGCAATACCTATTAATTAATTCCTATCAATATTATGGATAATACATGATGATTCTGAATGATAATGTCAATTATCATCTTATCATCGACCTCAATATGTTGTCCAGTATCATCCATGATAAATTTCTCATCATTTATCTGTGTACTCTATGCAGATCATGTATATCCACAGTTCTTATGGTGACTGGAACATTGATTGGGTCCTGTAGGCCTGTGGCTCGCACGATCGGGCACGACAAACAATTCTGACAACTAGTGACTAGTGAGCCAAACTCCCCATTTCATCCATTTCTCAACTAATACAAAGCAATACCAATTCAGGATAATTCAAGAACATCTTTAAGAGTAATCATAAAAAAAGTCCAACTTCAAGAAAAAAACGGCACATTCGATAGGTTTGCCGACTATGGATTTATCATAATTCACAGCAACCTTGGTAGTACAGCTCCCAATCATACCCTCTGGTAAACGAACGTAACTATGGAACATCACCATTTTTAATAGGTAAATCCACTATTTCTATGGCCATTTTCAATAGCTTTTTGTTAAATTACCAGAGGGTAACAATCATTTAAGCATATTTTACACCTAGGACCTTTGGATTCCCACTATGGGATGTATGAAAGCCTCGCCCATTAATAGGTTAGTTTACCAGAGGGTAACCCAACAACCAACCTATTTTAATGGCTCAGAACCTTGGGGAAACTCTCCGTCAAATTCCGGCGCCAGGGATCCGGCGCAAGGCTCTCCTGGCCCCCAGGGTTTCGGGTCGTGCATGTCATGGCATGGGAAGCCCCAAAAAACTTGGAATTTTCGATATATATATATATATAATATATATATATAGATATATATATTATATAGATATATATAGATATAGATATATAGATATATAGATATATAGATATAATAGATATAATAGATATGAATTTCTATGAACATGATTTCATGAGCATCCCCCAATGTGGGTATGTAATCCATCTTTTTGAACATGGCACATGTGTATCAAAGCATGTATACTAAATCAAATTCATATATATATATATACACTCCATGCATATGCGCTACGAATCACCCAACATTCCAAATGAAACCCAACATGAGTTTTTTCTCATGCAACCTGAATCCCCAAGATATCGGGTACTTGAGCCAATGGCTGGATGTTCATCCTTGCTCCTCCTCCCGAAAACTTCATGGTGAATCATCACTATCCCAGATATCCCCGTTAAAGTATATGAACATGGCTAATTGAGCTGTTCATCCCAAAAAACGCCAGTTCTGCTGAACCCAAAAACGGCCCACTTAGAGTTGTCATTTATCCCAGAAGTTCAGTGAAGCAACCACTGTGGATCTTACCCATTTATTCCCATTTAAAGTTTGAGAATAGGGTCTAAATCGAAATATCCCCAGGGTCCCCATACAGTAATATCATGTAATATCCCCATCAACTGCCAATCATGGGGCCGATATCCCCCGATTTTTCCCAGTTGAGACCGGCACCTGGTGAGGCTGTTGAGACGGCCCAGGGGGTCCACAGGCAGTAGATCCAATTCCCTGACGAGTTCTGCGGATTGATCCCTGAGGATTTAATCCATTGGAAGCCATTGGATTTACCCTCTGGTAAACTAACATAGCTATTGAAAATGTCCATTTATAGTGAGTTTTCCCATTAAAAGTGGTGACTTTCCATAGCTATGTTAGTTTACCATTGGATTTAGGCTTCATCCCCTCAATCTTCTGACAAACCTCAGGAGTGGAATTACTAACAGTTGGATGAATGCTGATTTGGCTCAATGTTGCTTGAATTGCTGGACTGTTGGCCAAATTCACCCAACGACAATTGAAACATTGTGTTCCATGTTTCACAATTGTTGTAAATGTTTTTCAGACTTCAGTGGCGATACTATACACCAAACAATGCTTTCTTTTTGGACTACGTATGCTTCAATCTATGGATATTGCATCATATTACTGCGAATATTTCTGTTCAGCCCTGTGGGTTTGTGAAACGAAGAGAGCCCTAGAAGGGACCAGTGGACCAGGAACACGCAACTGAGAGTGAGAAAAGCACAGGTGAGGAACGTCTGATCCTAATGTTCGAAATGACCTGTTTCAGTTTTGGAGCATTTGGTTCAAAACAATGCCTGTTGGTAAAGTTGAAAGAGAAGTTTGATTTTGGACAATTTTGGACACCAATGAGAAGCCACGTGCCGCTGTACTTTAACATCTGCCACCTCACGAAATGGGTTCGGGGTGCAGAAACTCACTCATTTTTCGGATCCGGATCGTTGTGGAACTGAGGGATCATCATATCATCCTCCGCTAGCCTCATCACCATTGCTACCAGGGCTGCTACCAAGTTACCATAGAAACAAACCTAGAGCCCAGTCCGTCCACCGATCTACCTCTCTTCAACGGTAGGTGTGCCAGTCATTGCACCTCGCCCAGTGGTTGATCAATGAAATCCTGACAAAGTATGATGCAACTAGATATCTGGAATATTCTGGAATCAACCAGAGACGTAAATATACACAAACTAATAAGATCTACACCGATAAGATCTCTATAATAAGATATAATAAGGACATTATTGACAAGTGCCCACTGCTGCACTTGTATTTCATCAGGCGGTCAAGCGACTTGCACAGTTCAACGCCCAATATGACCTAACTTCATCACACAACAATTTACTAATGTCCCAAACACGTTTCTAGTCCATGTCATATTGGGATAAGAACCGATCATGCAAAAGGACATCGGCACATCTGACACCCATCTCTTAAAAATGGAACATTTAAGCGTCGAGTGCTGTATCTGCATTCCACCAAGACAAAGGTCATCTGGGATGCCCCACAAGCACGATCTTGACGAGTACCTACAACCCATGTGAGATCACCAAAAGCGTTCAGCGATGGAACAAATGGGGGATTCATCATTGGTTATATCCCGCTTATATCACCATTTGAGATGGCTAAGTTATATCCGTTATCCATTTATATCACATTCTATTCCAATTATATCCCATTATATCCCCTAAAATTCTCTATTTTATCCCAACTACATGCCATAACCCCATGATATCCCCATTCTGCATGGTTAAATCATGTGAAATCACCACCGTCGCACCAAACGCCAAGGGAGGAGTGGTGGAAGAGACGCCTGACGGCGCCTCAGAGGGGTCATGGGAACATCATCTGTAAATGGTGGATTTTTCCACATCTATGTCATCTATGTTAGTTTACTACCCTGGTGTCTGGTTTCAATGGCCAGAATATCTTCAAAGGATTCTTATTGCAGGCTATTTTGAAACTATACGTCAAGGAATATGTAATAATTATAGTAATAATTATCATATCATAATGTTGTTGATATATAATCAGCATATTTTCCTGATTTATACTATCATTCCATGATAAAGTATGTGATACGGATAAGATATTATGATGTGCTGCAAATTATCACCATCCATCACATTTGATATTATAGAAAGTTGCATATAATATATTATATAATAGTATATAGAATACAATAGACATTTTCAGGAATCTCGGCACATTTGGCGATATTTGGCTTGGATGAGCAAATTAGAAACGGCCACTTCGGCCACCCTGAAGTGGTGCAAGTTCTGGCGAGGCCATGAAGTCTGGCGATTTACCTAACTGAGTCAGAGATCATTCCCAACAGATTCAGGTGTTAATGAACACAGTAGGTAATTTTAATTATATGAACTACATTTGTTCTTGTTAGCAGGTGCTCCAGGTAGGTAAGGAATATAGGAATAAGAGCTTAAATGAAATCGCTAACCAAACTAGTACGACGCAGCTGTTGCATTTGACCTTTGGCAACAAAACAATTCATTTTGCTTAGAGTCTCTGCGAAGTGGTTGAGTCCCCAAGATTATCAAAACATATCAAAACTACTCTTGCCTGTCCAATCAGCAACATAATAAATTTTAGTTGTAGATACATTTGTACATCTCTGTTTTGCCAAAGGCTGCAGGTTTCTTGCTCTCCCCTTGCGTTAACGTGCAGGTTCTAGATCAGTGATAATCTGCCGACCATTCACGGATCCCAATTTTGAGTGAGGTTCCTTGGCTTCTTTACAGCTTTTACCCGTTCTACCCGAAAATCAAAGGCACAAATCAATGGATGATCCAACTCTGCGGTCCCCGTTGTCCGGGTCTGAGTTTGACGGCTGCAGTGGACGCGTCTTCCCAGGCATTCGCTCCCTTGAACTGCGAATAATCGCCAGGACCTGCGCAACAACCCTCAGAGCACGGTGGAAAATCAGCTCCATGGCTTGTCAATCACCAATCAAAATGAGCACTGTATAATATATATATATTATGTATAATATATATATAAGACACATATATACATAACATATTTTTCTCTCTCTCTCTCTATATATATATAGGATCATGATCAAAGCAAATGGTCGATTTTCCATGTGATTGCAGGTAAATGTCCTGAACATGAATATAATAGTTGGGATGTTCACTGGTTAGGCAATGGGGAGCAGGGAAACTATCACAACATGACCAAACGCACATAGCTATACCAGAAATGACCCACCCGTCAGCTTCATCACAAAGGCTGCTTTGCCTGTTGTCGCCCTCAGCTAGTAGATACTTGGTGGCTCATCCCACTTAGTAAGTGGGTTATAACCCCAGTTATAAATGGGATTTTTGTAGGGTTAATCCACTTATAACTGGGGTTATAACCCACTTACGAGCAGTGGGATGAGCCACCAAGTAGATAAATACCATCAAACATGTCTTGGATTTGCTTCTGAGGCTGTGAAAAAAACCAGTCTCCTGCGCACGGTGCCCCTCTTTTTATAGCGATCATTTCTGCCCCTCCAAATGACAGAAATCTTTCAATCCAAAGTCAGTAGCTAAATCCTGGCAACCACCATTTATGATTATTTATGGATATTTCCAGCATAATCCAATCCCCCCAAATATGAAACATCTCCTATCTAAATGGCACCCAATATGTGTAAATGTCCTACTAAACCATGGTTTATATATTGAGGTTTCCTCAAATTGGGGCTATCCTCATCGTCCAAGTCATAATCCAAGTCATAAATGACCATGTCAATTACCCTCTGGTTATTTAACATAGCCATGGAAAATGACCCATTTATAGATGGTTTGCCGAACTTAAACATGGTGATTTTCCATGGTGAACTGTTAAATAACCAGATGGTAACTGTTGAAACCACCATGCTGACGCCAAGGGATCCCCCCAAAAAAAATCGGTCAGTACCTGGCGTCTCCGATCTGCTGCGTGATCGATCGAAACGGTGCTGCTGCGTGCCAAAGGCAGGTGACCTGAAAGGCACCAAAACATGAACAAAGTCATTTCTCATGGGTTTAGTTTAAGGGAATACCCTCTGGTAAACTTACAAACAGCTATTGAAAATGGCCATTGAAATAGTGAGTTTTCCCATTAAACATGGTGATTTTCCATTGTTATGTAAACGTTTACCAGAGGGTAAATACAGCAAAACATAGTTCAAACTCCCCCATCTGTAGGTGTATCCTGCAGATTGTCCCTTCAAAAAAAATCCTGGGAATTTCCAGTATCAATGGATTGATTCAAGGGAAAATCATGGAACATCTGAACATCTATCTACCATCTGGTTATGACTAACAGTTCGCCATGGAAAGATCCACCATTTTAAAGTTCGGTAAACCATCTATTTCTATGGGCCATCTATACCATGGCAAACTGTTAGTCATAACCAGAGGGTACTGTATATTATATATACAGGAAAGTCATGGTTGTTTCACCATGAAACAAAAACGAGGTTCCTGCAGATTCTCCATTACATCAATTGGGATTGGTTACCCAAGTTTGACACATGACAAGACGCCCATGAAATTGCGTACATACACTGGTACTTCTCATGAAATTACGTCTTTGATCGTCTTTGTATTCGGACATGGGTGTCATTTTCGGAGTGAAGTGGGCCCAGCAATGATGGTTTGGTGCCTGGGCCACCATCAAATGGGTATGGGGCAAACTCTTGTACTGCAACAGTGGGCACGCTTTTATAGACATTTATAGACCATGTCCAAGATCTGTGGTTCCCCAATTCTCAGCCACCATGGTCCTTCACCTGAAAGGAAACTTCAAACTGGGAGTGATGTGTTGATATGACAAAAGGGTACTATAGATTGTACATTTGCAGGTAAATTTCTGGAAAGTACTCGGCATAGCTTAATCAAATTGGTTTGATATATCATTTGTGCATTCAATATATCACCTTTCAATGGCTTACTCTCCAAAGCCAAGTAACACATAAATTCCTAAGAATATGTGAATGCTTACACGCCCATATGTTACATGTTGCTTTTGACACCATATTCATTGACAACATCACGATACACACACTTTTATATATGAGAGTATACCTTACAATCATGAAACATATAGTATATATAATAATAGTACATATTAATTATACGTATAATATATATATATATATTATAATATAATACATAATATATAATATATATAATATATATAATATATATAATGTATAATATACATAATATACATAATATTATATATATAATATGTATTGGTTGGATAGTAAACCTGAATGTTCTGCAAATCTGGTGGATTTGCTCATGGTCCAAGGCCATGCACCGTGTCGCACGGCACGTCCGTCGAGTTTCCTGGCGGGCTGCGTCGTTGGGATGTCTCCAGCGGCACATCCAAGTCGTAGTAGCCTGGACCTCGGCGGCGCATGGCGACGCCACCGGGGTTCATCAAAGGTTCATCAAAGGTCGCTGGGAAATCCACTGAACTACTGAGTAACTACTGTAAATGGAGGTTTTGGGGTTGTTTGTGGCGAAAATCATCGAACTTTTAACTGGTGGATTTGAAAAATCACCACGTTTGATTACCAGAGGGGAATAAGATGGCCATAGTATTGCAAAGTGAGGCCCCCAAATTATAAGCTGGTTTATAAAGCCCATTGACTATAGTTGTATCCCCCACAAAGCATAGTTAACCGAATTATCTGTTAACCTATAGATATATCTAGGGGACCTCACCGTGTAGGGTAATTATGGATAATTATCCAAACAATGGGATCAAAACATTTGTAAAACATGAACATCAGCAACGAAATGAAGCAAGAAAGCCAGGTTTTTCAGACAACAATTGCATAAACTTACCATGTGCGATTTCGCGTGATGCGTGTTGCTGCTTCGCTGTAGCGATCGAAACATCACCAGCTTCATTGGATCATTTTGGTGAGCCCAACACCACAGGACGATCTTTCACTCGGCTCTCTTGGGCCCTAACCCAGCTCTGGACCTCGACAGATGCTACTCCCAGTGACACTATAGTTACCCCGGATCCCCTGCTGTGCTGTAAAGTCATCCTGGTCTCATTTGAAACATGTTGAGTCTACAAAGCTCAAAATGCTCAAAATGCTCATATTGCGTCGGCCTGAACCATCTGAAAATAAACTTTTTGTTGACCTACGGATATCCATGTTAGTCACTTGAGGTTCAACTAGCCGTGTAACACGGTCACTTGACCTCATCCAATCCCTGGGATCCCTGGGATCAAGACCCAGTGGCAGATCGACAATCTATGAGTAGGGCACCAACCAAAATCACAGATGGGACTGCCATTTCTCCCCATTTTCCGGCACAGTTTTTAGGTGGAAAACAGCGGATCACTGAGATCTCCTGACTACCTCGAGGCTGCTCCCGGGCTGTTGAACTGCTACCAAAAGGCACCTGCACAGCTGTTGAACCACCTGCGAAATGAATTGGACATCCAAACATGGAGGGTATCCCGTATCCCCGAACATTTCACTGCTCAAAGCATCTTTCTTTCCTGTTGAATTTCCAAATTTGGGGTCTCCAGCAGAGGCCAAGCCGATAATCACTGGAGCTGTGTAGTTTTGGCTCTCCCTCCCTGTTTTTTTCGGATGTCCAGCTCGAAACCAGGCCCAAAAAATAGCTTTCCCCCAGTCAGGTGACCCGATTTTGATCGATGATCAAAATCTATGCCCCGAATGGTGCGAATCTTGATGGATAAGAAACCCATCCGATAAAGCCTGATTACTACCAGTAAGATTAGTTGTGGTTAAGTGCGCGAAAAAAATACCAGATAACTTTAAGATTTATTGGGATGGTAACTTGTGGTGCTGAATCTCTATGATCGATCTACTCAGCGTCACCAAAAAGCACAGCGTAAGATGGATCCCAACATATCCCAACAATGGCCATAGCAGTTTGTCTCAAATTGGGTACCCCTAAATCTGTTGGTTAATGATTGTTAATGAGTTTCTGCATTAAAAATGCAATGTGGGGGGTCTATATAACCTCATTCTCAGACAATCCCCAAATATCTTATTAAGCTGGTTCATCTGGATATATATATATACACAATATATATTACAAATCATATCCCCGAAAAAAAACAAAAAAAACTATAAAATCTGGCTGAACTATAGGAAATCACTAACCTGAAAACTGTTATCATATGGCCATTTGGAGACGATTCCCCGAATCATCTTCCCATCATTCCAGTGACGTCACGACCTGAGGTCATGATCAAATTCATCATAATTCATCCAGATACTTATAGCCCAAAATTCAGAAAAATAACTATAGAATCTATAGTTTACTATAGATATTATATGATATTATTATGGTCAGGTTTTTACTACGGTCATTTTTTTGTTTTTTGCGCTTGCTATCTATCCCGTTGTCCCATGCGACTTCAACGAAGCTGCTGGGTTCGCCTGGGGCCCACGTCGCTCAGCACGATGCCGCCTCGCCAGCGAAGTTGGCTTCTAACTGATATAGCTAGAGTCTATGGATGGTTTATGGTAGATACCCTCTGGTAAACTAAGAGTTCACTATGGAAAATCACCATGCTAATGGGAAAACTCACTATTTCTATTATCTAGGGCCATTTTCCATAGCTTTTTCTATGTTTACCAGAGGGTATCTCCTATTAAATCCCATTAAATCCCATTAAACCACCATTTTCCCATTGTAGCCCTTGGCGAATAAAACCCCGGACCTTTGCCGTTCCGCGAAGCCCTCGGGTGCACAGCTGGCAGGTCCAGGGCCTGGCTGCGGTGGTCCTGATTCATTTACATCCTACAACCAGGGCTGTGCCTATGTACAAATTCTATAGGTTAGAGTAATATGTATATATAATAATAATATATATATATGTGATATATATATATATGATACAAATATATATATATATATGTGTGATATTATATATATGATATATGATATATGATATATGCTATTTGATATATGACATATGATAGATATAATATATATATATATATATGGTGTATATATATATATATACACGTAAATATATGTAATGTTAAATGATACATGATACATGATACATGATATATGATATGTGATACATATATAATATATAATATATAATATATAATATATATATATTATATAATATATAAACTATATAAATATATATATATAATATAATATAATATAATATAATATAATATAATATAATATAATATAATATAATATACATAATATATATATAGATTATATAATATATATATATTATATAATATATATATAATATATAATATATAATATATAATATATATAATATAATATATATAATACTATATACATATTATAATATATATAATATAATATATATATAATACTATATACATATTATAATATATATAATATAATATATATAATACTATATACATATTATAATATATATATAATATAATATAATATAATATAATATAATATAATATAATATAATATATATATATATATATATTACACAATATATAATATATAAGATATGATATATAATATATGATATAATATATGATATATAATATATGACTTATGATATATGATATATGATGATATATGATGATATATGATGATATATGATGATATATGATGATATATGATGATATGATAAACACATATGTATATATACGACGGATAATGATGATATGACATGATGTATGGCTGTAATTTCTGGATTTTTTTTTTTCAGAGATATCTGTGTCTGTGAAGATATGGTACCAAGCTGGCCAGCTATTTTTATTCGAACTTGGAACGATGTGCTGCCCAAGCTATGATGGGCCAGTATACCGGTGAAGGACAGCACACATTAGGGTGTATACACTATAATATATATATATATATGTATCATTAAATATTCATAATGTAGTTCATGTATGAATATCAAGGTATATGGTTTCAAGTCATGGATATAAAGTTTGGAAAGAACAACACATGTATAGTTGCGCCCAGCCGTAGATAGAAAAACTGGAAACCTCAAAAACATTATGGAAGGGAATATCAGCAAATTAACATATCCTGGAAACACTGTTCGACATCTTTTGAGGGACCCCATTATATGAACGCATATGTTTCAAAACGAGAGACCCCCAAAATTGTATCCCCATGATTGTATGATATTAAATGGTTGTACACCAAACAAATATCCGAACTCTTATAACCAGCTTATTACCTGTTACCAGACATGAGGGCACCAACCTTTACACCAACCAGTTATTGGATGATGGGCCTGCCTTCTCGCTCAGCCTCACTTCGCCTTGCGGTGCCTCACCAACAAAATGGTTAACCACCTTGAGGTTTACAAGGACAAAGGGCAACCACCGAAAGGCTTGACTACTTCAAACAACGCTTACAGTGCAGTGACAGTACGGGTCTAAAACCAGCCATTTCTTATCATTGACACTGGAAAATGGTCGGGTTTCCATCTCCACAGGTCAAATGGAATCTCTATTTCAGCCATCTCAGGTCAATGAGCTGACAACCAACAAGCACCGCAAGATGTGGATCCCATCTTGAAGCCACCATTGAAATCCAACAAATCGTGACCAAACCCAACATCTTACGTTAAGATTCTTTCTTCAAATCAGTCTGAGGATGTCCAGAGTCATGATCATATTCATTCAAGAATTTGTGTACTGATATCATCATATATCATCCAAGTCCAAACAGCTATCAGCCTCTCTTCCGGCATTCCAAAGAATATTCACATGTGCGGTATCGTCATCCTAGCGTCATCAGGGATTCCCTACAAAGGGATTCCCTACAAAGGGCACTTGATTAACCCCTATTAATGGGAAATATGAACGATCTATATCACATCCCCTATCTGGTGTTGATGCATTTGCTGGATTGTGGTGGTTCATGTTTCCAGCAAAGCCAAATATATCAAATATTAACTACATGACATGGTTTTGACATGATTTTCACAAATAACTACGGGTATTAACCCCCTTCACGGGAAAAGTGAACCATGCTGACTCTACGCACCCGACTCAGACCCTTCGTTTTCTCCTGCCGGGCCGGCCTGATGCAAAGGCAGAGCTGGGCTGGCACACTTTGCCCAGCATCTTGTGCCTCGCGAAAATCAACAATATATCAAATACCCATAGGATCCATGTATGGTATATATGCTAACATTGGGGATATATTGATGGTAAATGTTACCATATATAGCATACATGGATCCTGTGGGATATATTAAGATCCTTTAAGCAAATCATCGAACTAAATGGGCCATGGCTTCCATAGATACGTTAAATTACCGGAGGGTATCGGCAACATTTCAGCTACAGTATAGCTATGCCCTCAACCAGTTTAGCAGATTCGTTTCCACTCAATTGTTCAGAGTTGGAATGTGTCAACAACGTGTAAAAAAGATGGTCAACATGTTTTTGTCAGACTTGTTCGGTAAAACCAAAACATTCTGTGTGATTGCCTTTCTCGCGGCGAGAGCAATGAACAACTGCAACAATCCAATTGAAACATGTCAGTATGCCCATAGGTTTGGTATTGAAGTGGATACCCTCTGGTAAACTAACAGTTCACTATGGAACATCACCATGCTGAATGGGTAAATCAACTATTTCTATGGCCATGGCTTCAATACCCTCTGGTAAACTAACATAGCTATTGAAAATGGCCATAGAAATAGTGGAATTACCCATTGAATACATGGTGATTTTCCATAGTGAACTGTTAGTTTAGCAGAGGGTAGCTTTTTCTATGTTTACCAGGCCGGGTTTTTTATTGACGTCACACCTCCTCACAGGGACTGCTGTGGAGTCGGTGCCGATCCAAATGCACACCTGGGGCCACGCGCCACTGTGCGGCCATATGTTTTCATATCCCATAGGATCCATGGTGCTGGTATATATGCTAACATTGGGGATATATTGATGGGATCCATGTTACCATATATAGCATACATGGATCCTATGGGTATGTAGGTTTCCTCAAATAGGGGTACCCCCAAATCATGTTAATATGTTTTTTTTCCCATCATAAACCATCCATTTTGGGGATCCCATTTATGGAAAAAAAAGAGATATGGAGAAACACAAACAGCTCGGAACACCCAATATTAATTGGGGATGGAAGGCAAACTTCGCCAATCTTCACGCATATTGACACATGAATCAGACACTTTAAAATGGCTATGGCTATGAGCGAATTTTGGTATCAACAACATCACCACTTCACAGTTTCATGTCATGCAACCTCAAAAACGCAATGCGGTTTGGGCCATGGCGTGTTCTTGCGAAAGCGAAGGAATCGATTCCCCAGGTGATGACAAAAGGCCTTGGTGCTCGTCAGCTTCTGGAACGGCATCTTGAGCAAACTCAATGATTGAGGTTGAGCGTCTTCTGGTTGGTGGTTTCAACCCCTCTGAAAAATATGAAAGTCAGTTGGGATGATGACATTCCCAATATATGGAAAACATGTTCGAAACCACCAACCAGTCTTGAATCGTTGATTTGTCTGGGCAAATGTTCTCACATCAAATACTTGGTCGCAGGCCAGCTCCAGTGAGCCACAAAAACAACAAACGCCAATGTCAGAAAAGACGGCCGTCCACATTGCGAAACGAAACAGCATCCTTGAACTATTTACACGTAAAGTCGTCACCATTTCTGCATTTCCAAGATGTTGTTTTTGGTATAAAAAGATATGTTCCACTTGAATCTGAGATACGTCCTACATCCGCCTATACATGTAGTAGTAATTAGATAATAATATGTGTATATAATGTGTATTATATGATATGTATATATGTATATATATGGATATATATATATATACATCTGGTAACCTGCCGCATCCCACAAAACCATCATGCCAAGGACGCAACTCTTCATGGGTTGGCGGGACACAATGCGTTGCTCCTTCTGAGGCACTGTACCTTGGATCGACGATTTTACACCGCTGAAACAATATGTCGCTATGATGTCTTCGCTATTGACCATATATAGATTCATTTGTCTCATTCGGACTTAGTTAAAACCACCAACTAGTGTCACTAGTGTCACTATGTCTCCACTCTTGGATTTGTGATCTTTAGACCTGTATCGATATGTGCATAACCATGTATAGATAGGTTCAAGGCGTATGATCCATGACTGTACTTTGCCGTGCTTTGCACATTTGACAACCAAAGCCATCCGGCATCAGGGACAAACTCTCAGCGACTCTGGGAAATCAAAAAGCTTCCTAGAAAGGCATCCCAAAATCTCTTGATAAAAACTTGTACATCAAAATTGCACAGATTTGGCAGTGTCTATCTATCAAACTGTCATGTTCTTTAGCCTCTTTTTCCGCCTTGGTGATAGCTAGTTGGGCTGATATTTGGATCAAGGAACACTTGCGGTACCAACACATACCAAAGAAAGAATCTTGAAACGGAAAACCACATGGTTACCACATGGCCCACTACCACTTTTGTTTGGCGTTGCAGCCCCTTCAAGTGCGTTCCTTTGATGCTGGTGCAACTGGGGTGGAATTAAGCCTACTTCCTTCTGGTGGAACCAATTTCCTTGGCCCCAACCAAGTACTGATTCTTGAGGCCCCTAACACAGCAACCTTCGCGGAGGGGCCTGAACGGTGGCCGTTGCCGTCTTCCCAATTTGGGGACATACAAGTGCATGCAAGCAATAGCAAAATATGTGTTGTGGGAAGTAGGCATATGTCTTAAATGTATCCTTTTGCTGCCTGGACTACCTCTTATTCCTCAAGATCTTCAGTGGCAAACGGACAGAATGGCAAGACTTTCACGTGGGAAACAATCTGACCATCGTGACCACTTCCTGAATCTACTGCCGGATCAATCGCCAAATCCAAGTTTGGGACATAGCAAACTTGCTTCAAAAAGTGCAAGGGCTCACTGAGTCGCCATGCCACGCCATCCGTTATATATATATATGTATATATATATATGTATATATATATGTGTATATATATATATATATATGTATATATATGTATATATATATATACATATTATCATATCGAAAGTATCACAACATATCAACCAATATCATGCAATATCTGCAAAAGACAGTTCCCACCCACCACACATCACCACAGAAACTATGGATCGATGGGTCAAAAACTATCACTCGACCCGACCTTGGTAGGTGCCACACACAACTGGCCAGCGTCCTGGATCGGCACACCCTCTCAGCGTCAGCATGGGTCACCACTAAGCACACCTATAATTCATCCACCAGTTTTTACTTATTGTTGTTTCACCATGTTTCAACTTGGGACATGAGTTTACGGATCTCACTGAATTGTCAAGCAGATTCAAGAGAAAATTGCTCAAACGGAAAAATGAAAATGTGGAAGCCTGCCAGCCAGTTGCGTGTCATTGGATTCAAGGGAGTGTTTGTTGGGCACCCCTTGCAACCATTAGACACCCTTCAGCAATGTGCCGGGTGGTTTTCAAATCTGGGATTTAATGTGCATAACAATGTTCATCACTACCTAACGGCCAGTGACTGTAGCTTGTCGCATTCCATGGCATTCCATGGCAGTATTCGAGAGTATGATCTGCGACTTTCAATATTAGGTCTGAGTAAGGAGTGCCGAATAGGAACTCTTGTAAAATCAAAGAACCCCAAAAACATTGCAAATACCTTAAAGGGACCTGGTTTGAGGTGTAACCAGTTTCGTACAGACTATTAATCATGTTGTTCTTAGGTATAACCAAATTTGATCCATACACAGGAAAGCATGTTCTGTCCAGCTTCAAACGCCTGTCCTGATCTAGTTTGGGTATTTCGATCATACCTGAACAGTGAGAACATGCTGCATTCATCTTACTACTACAAAGGTGAGGACGCACATATATATCCCAAGATTGATATGCAATATTATGACAATCCTATACCATACTGTACCATACTGTACTCTACTGGATCAAATTTACATGTAAGAAACAACTCAATATCTTGTCAACATCATATTGATCAAATCCTAGACATTCATATGGTGGTTTCCCAAAATAGAGATCCCAAAAATGATTGCTTTATAATGGAAAATCCTACTTAAATGATCTTAAATGTATGATTTAGGGGTACCCCCATTTCAGAAAACACATCAAACATATCTACAGTACAGAGTACAGCATACCTTACCCCCACCCACCAGTGGACCCACCAGTGGATGCTGCACTTGTCCCCGAGCTCTCCTCTCTCGGCGTCGGCGCTCTCGGCGTCGGCGTCTTTCGGCGTCGGCGTCTTTCGGGCCAGGTGGGCACCGCGACGAAGCTGCCTCAGGGGTCGATGCTGCTGTTTTTTGATGGGACTAAATGTGACCTCAGGAAGGAAACTGCTGGATGATTCATGATGATTCTATAGTATAGTACTTATAGTTGCAATGCGGAAATGTGCTTATGTTTGGACGCAAGGGCAAATTTTGAATCACAACAGCCAACGCAATGATAAGCAAACAAATTGTTGTGGGTGTCACACGCTTGTATCTACCATCAAGATCCTCGTGAGCACGTTCATCATCAAATATCAGGCAGCAACATCCTGTAGAACATCCTGTAGGAATGAATTTCCGGTCATATTATGTTGCTTGAGAAGAAACATGTTGCCCTCTGGTTATTTAACATAGCCATGGAAAATCCCTTATAAATGGAGGTTTTAATGGGAAAATCATTGATTGAATAGTCTGGCAAATACTGATGAACTGGCCGTCTTGAATCTCAAACCCCCAAAACACGTACGTGGATACCTAGCTTTCCTCAAAGCCAGCTATAAGTCCCTTTATATAAAACCTTCGATTCCAACACGGAGTTCTGGCCCATGAAAGCAGCATCAAACAACTGGCTAAACTTATGAGACATAGTGTAAATAAAAATAATTAAAAATAATTAAAAATATATGGATACCACATGATACAAGGTGGTGCCCCATAGTTAGCTAAGTTGGTTTATAACTCCCATAACTGTGGTTTATGGCAGATATAACTATAGTTAATGGGGGTTATAAACCAACTTATAACAGGGGGGGCACCACCATGTACCACCCAGATTTTGGATGGTTTCTATATGTTTCTATATGTTTCAATCCATTTCACCATCCTTCACCGGAAGGCGCCTCCATGTAGGTCTCCCATCCACGCGCTTTGGGTTGTGTTCGTACATGCCAGGACCCGGCACCTGACTAAGGACACGGCCTTGACACATGAATCACATGAATGTTGGGGAGTTTAAGATATTTTAAGCAACCCTTGGCCCTTGGAATCTACTGGGACTATCTTGGGAATATCACCTACCAATGATGATTCAATGATGGGAATAGGGTTTAGCAAAATGGGTCTTGTTCAATGTGTTCTCAACTGAAACATGGGGAAGTCCCTATACTTCTGTTTCCGGCACGGTCTATTTTCATGCCAAAAACCTCCTCTAGACATGGAAATGCCTCCACGTGTGGGCGACAAACCGTGTCACATGTTTCCCATGAAACCACGATAAAAATAACGTTTCCCATTCGGTAAATCGCGGGTCATGCATCATGTTTATCCCATGAACAATCTTAAAACCAGCATGATTCAACATGTTTCCATATGTTTTCCATGTGTTTCCATTCATTATTGTCTTTCCATCCTCCAATCCTCAGGTTCGAATTTGTCCATTCTTTCCGGCTCGGCGGCCATGACCTCATTGGTGGATTTCAAGCCATCAAGTCGATGCAGTTGCGACCTGTGCCGCGGTTGCAATGATCGATGATATCGATGGTTCGAAAAAATCAACCGATCGGTTGAATGGAACATTTACAGGAAAACAAAAAAGTGCATTTTAGGTTCGTGGTATACCTACCCTCTGAAAAATATGAAAGTCAGTTGGGATGATGGCATTCCCAATATATGGAAAAATAACATTTATGTTCCAAACCACCAACCAGATTTAGTTGTTTGTTTCCAAACAGATTTAAGGGAAAAAAAGTTCCTTCGACCCTAGGATCAATGGGTTTGTTGAACAATTACTGTATAATGGGGCTTTAAGAGTGTTTTTTGTTTTTACAGGCAATTATATCCAAACATGGGAGATGCATCGAAGGGATCCATGTGGTGTCCAATTCATATGTGTCAATAGATAGTCAAACATTTGGTGTTCAATCCACTAATCAAAATTGATTCAAAATTGGTGGGGCCTTCATCAATGTTTGAACATAAATACCAATACTGCTAAAACAGAGTTTGATCACCAAAGAAAGGACAGCGCAGTATTTTTGATCACCTTTTCAAAAGTATCCAAAAGTAGGTTTCTAAGCAACCAATCTTTGCAAAACAATAGGACAACATGAAGCCATATGAAGATATTTATAAGCCAGGGCATGTCTCGAAATTAGGTGCCAATCGGACCTTTAAAATCGTTGTGCTACGGCACTATAGCTGGGGATTCCTGTGTGATAATCTGTATAATCTGTAGATGTTCCTTTCTATCAATAAATATCATACAAACTGAGTTTGGCTTCCAACAAAATCCCATAAGTGCATTCACTGTTTGTGATACAGAAGAAACTTTATGAGCTGCTGTGATTATCCTGCAGCACAGTAACTTGAAGCCGTGATGTTTTCATATGATTTCCACATTGCAAATGCACTGCGTACTTTCACCCTTCTTGGAAAAAATAATTTGGGCTCATTTTTCCAGTTATACGGATACGTCAATCTGGGAGCCTCTGAAAAGTCTTGACTTACTCTCTATTGGCTTGGCAAATCGCTCGCAACATCTCGCAGGGATCTGGGCTGGTTGCAATGTCATTATCGGAAGCATAGCATGGTTTTTCTGGTCAATCTTTGATACTCCAAAGTTAGAACATATGTTGGTTATATGTTGGTTATGGTTAACGCATATATTTTATGTTATTGTCATATTTATTGTCTATCCCATGACGGATCCATGGTGCTGGTATATATGCTAACATGACTGGGGGATATTGATGGGATCCATGGCACACCATATATAGCAGCACCATGGATCCGTCATGGGCTATAATTATATTAAGATCCTTTGGTTAATGTTGGTTATGTTTTTTTCCGCTTATTCTATGTTATTGTCATATTTATTGTCTATAGCAAAACATCAAAATAAAACGTGCCCCTCCAAGGTGTTTTGGATGATCGTTGCCCCACACAGTCTGCCGCACCGAAAGCTCGGATCGCCCAAGCTGACAGATCGATCCTGACGGAGCGCGGCTAAGATCGAAGATACCACGAAGGTGAACCTGAAATCAAAAAAAAAGACTTTAGATCTTTAGGACCTGAATGAAATATTCTAAATGATTCTAAATGTATCTATAGATGTTTCTGATTCTGAGGAATGGGGTCATCCACAATCTACCAAACATGCCTATCTTGGTCTGTTGTTTCAATCAAATGTGTCCACAATTCTTCTTTTCAGCAACTACCGAAACCAGTTAGACATGCATAGGTTTTCAGGTCCAGGCCACTAGGAAGGCTTAGGGGGGTCTGATCTTGTTGAGCTATGGCAGCTATGGCCCAGATTCCTGTGATTATGTTTGTCTGCACATCCAAGCATTATGTTAATGAGAATGATAAACAAAATAACATGATTTCAACTATGACTAACTGTCACATATATATATATAAATAGTAATGATATGTTTAATGATGATGAAATATCATGATAACAGCGCATGCATTCTACAAGTCTGCCTCCTACCTATGTGTGTTTCAGCAGTCAAACCACCCATTTACAGGCTCCCCACATCACCCTGCAGGGTTGACACCGCGCCGCACCTTGGGAATGACCTCATGCGGTGGCTGAGCCGCTCAATCATCTGATCGAAAAACCGTGAGGACAAAAAGGTTCAAACAAATCAATTTGATATCATCCAAAAATCATCCAAAAATCATCCAAAAATAATCCAAAATCATCCAAAATCTACATTGTTACTTTTGTTTCCCCAAAGGGGTTCCCAGGATGTTTTTTTTACATCACTACATCTTCCGAATTCTGTTCGAACATTACCAAGGCAGGCACCTCATAATAAGCAGGTCCAGGCGTGCGGTAGACCTCCTGGAAAGGGTGGCAGCGTCTGCAACCATTCTCTTATCCTTATCGAGTTTAATTTTAATCAAAATCCAGATGTTCATTCCTAACATGAATGGGACCGAAGAGTCTCACCTCTTGTTCAGTTGAGTTCCAGCAGCAACATCAATGAAAGGGTTTGGTGCACACAAATCGTCGAATTGAAATGCTGTTCTTGCCTTGACCCGCAAGCATGCGAACCGCACAAACATATTAAGAATTTATGTGCGGATGCACGAAAAGACAGAAAAACTAGTTTGCACAAGAAACTCTAAACCTGGAAACATGACAAGGTGACCAAAAACTTGTGGCGCAGCGATTGACGTGTTGTCATTTTAAACAAACTGCTGAATGAAATATGTTTCTTCTAGGTCCAAAAGCAGGAACAAAACCCTGTACCTATTAGCTGCAATCGTGGACATGAAAATCATCCCCCCCTGATTGCAGATTCTATACTGTTTACTAAAAGTCAATAAAAGCCAGGACCATCCATCCTTTGGTGGTGTATTCTAAGGGAAGACAGTCAGGCTTTATCAGTCATTGTCATCCTGGTCCCTATCCAAAGTCAGGATTTCCAAATGTCTAATCACAAAAACCAAGCAAATTTTGTCATGATTGTTCACATGTTTTCTACTTTTTAACCATGTTTATCCATATTTACCTTCTGACTGTTGTCAAGCGATGAGTTTGCCACCCAACTCGGCACCGTTGCCGTTTCCGTCCCTGAGATCGCTTGATCTCACTGTAGTGCTGCAGAATGCCAGGGGTCTTGGGGCAGCCTCCTGCAGGGCGCCAGCGGAACCGACGGTACCAAACCTTTCCTATGGTTATATATAATTACAAATAATATACTTTTATATGTCTTCCTGTTTTGATCAAAACCTATCAAAAACGGCTTAGCGCGTTTCACTCTCGTCAAACAGTAACACAATGGTTTGATGAAACAAAACACATCCCTACCAATTCTTAGTAGTTTTCCCTTTGAAGAATTATATAATCTTTATCATCTCATCGTCCCACAGATAAATGTAGATGTTCTGAATCTGTTCGTCCCAGTAGTTGATTGATCTTGTCAATATTGCTGAATTATTTAGTTGATCCGTTGATTCCATATGAGTTATTTCATTGAGTATCCCCTTTGGAATTAACTTATCAGATAATCAATTTAACTCAGTCTGATTTAGTATACCATATCATCCGCCAAATTAACATAGACCCTGCCAAACACATCGGTTTGAACGATTCCTTTTCGCAACAAAAGATGTTTTTTGTTTTAAGGTTGATCTTAATTTATTGGATGGACATCCCTAAATTTCCCATGAATTTACTGGCCCAACTGACTAGAAGCACAACCGCCTCGCATCCGCGGTCCTCCTCGCAAGCCTCGATCATGACCTGTAGCCCCCAAAGTTAAGGGATCTATGGATATCTATTGAATGTGGTAAACCTGGTAAACCACGGTACAAGGTGGGCATAATGGATTGCTATGTCTAAACACAATCTTGAGATATGATAACCCATATATGTACATATATATATATATATATATCATATTATACTATAATCTATCAAATTAAATTATATTATTATATTATTATATTATATTGATCTAAACTTCAACTACAGCTGATGACAGATTCGGCACAATTCAGCACTGCCAGCCGGACATTGGGCTGAGCAGGTTGACAGCAGAAAAAAACTCTATATTATATTATATCATATTATATTATATTGCATTATATTATATATATCATATTATATTACATTATATTATATTATGTTATATCATATTATATTATGTTACATTATGTTATTATATCATATTATATTACATTATATTATATAATATTGTATCAATATACACCAGTATTTAGATATGTTATTCATGCAAGGTGGGGACTCCAAATGAAATCGCTAACTTGGTGAACAAGACTCCAACAACTAAGGGAGCTATGACAATTATATAGCAAAAGGCTAGATACAGGATTCATGTTTACCAAACAACTTATCACTGGGGGTGCCAACCTTCTAAACCCAGTAAGAAACAATATAATTGCACAGGATATACAAAAAAAAGACGCAAACGATCACTACAGTAACCGGAATAAACAGGTATGGATGTTGCTTGGATTTGCCATAGAAAGTCAACTAAGATCTGCAATTTTTCATACGGAAACTCTGTGCTGCTGGAGTTGGCACATCCTCAATCATCCAACAGCTCTCACGACATTGAGACCTCCGGCCGCTTGCACGAAAAACCATCAAAGCCATCTCATGGCTGGCGAAAACATGACGATCATCACCGAGAAAGCGATAGAGTTTGCTGGGGGACTTACTGTATATACATTTTGTTTAAAGGGACGATTCAAAAGCCTGTTTAAATATGCTGAATATGAGGGGAATTACACGCTTATTTAATCCAAGCAATGGACACTAACACAGGAAGTTGTTGGTTGTTCGATGACATCAGGCAGAAACTAACTCTAAAGACTCTAAAGGCTGCAGTCCAAACTGGCCTGCCTTGAACCAGAGGAGCACAGGAGATCATCATGCCCGGACTCATCAACTATTCATCAACTACCATTGTTTCATCATGTTTCATCCAAAATCCATAAAAACAAATAAATTCGACACATGACTAGCATGACATCTTAACATATCCTAACCACTTTCCAGAACGCCGTCCGAATCCATTCATGACCGGTCCTCCGAAACTCGACACTGGTGACACCGGTGGGATCTTCATGGCACCTTTTTTGGCGCCCTTAAGGCCATGTGGCCATCAGGAAAACACCAGACCCTTAGTCTACCAAATTACCAAACAAAAAACTGGCAAAAAAAAAAACTAAAATATCCTAAAATAAAGAGATATAAAGAGCATCTCCATCACTTTTCCGATTTTTCTGCAGGCACCTCGGGTGCAGATGGAAATGTCCGGAGTCGCGACCGCGCTGCTGCATATTCAGCATGATTCATATGTTCATTTAACGCATTTAATTTCACATTTTTTTCTCGCATTCCAGGCCTTTTGGCTCTGTAGAAATGGATGGAAAATATCGCATAATTTGACTATATGAAGAACTTCTCAAAGAACTCCACGCCGCGCTGCACTGGCACTGCTCTATGGGCCACAAGCTTCATGCCAGAACCATGGCCAAGCTTAGAACCCTGCTAAAAAAAATGCTTTTGGAGGACATCTTCTCATATATGATCATGTATAATCAATATCATATATGGTCATTCATATGGCAAACATATATATATATATACATATATTAATTATTATTATTATTATTATAAATATAAATAGTTTTCACATCCAAGGGTTGCCCAGCAACCAAACATAGTGCACTCCAGTTGCCCCCAAAATTATTCAAAGGAGAAAACGTGTGGGAATTTGGCAAGTTGCAAGACATTGCAAGCCAATGCGGACCTCAGCCATCACTAGCCCGATGAGACTTGCTTGAAGCTCGTCACATAGCGGCGCCCATGGCCCATCGGCACTCTTTGCCAAGTGGGTGATACTCTGGGTGAAACTCAAGGCTTGGACTCTGGCTGGCAGCCACTGTAGGACCTATGACCATCTATGACCAACTTCTTGCCTCGGTAGTTTTATGAACCAAGCATTTGATCACGACGACGCGCCAAATCCTACTCAGCCAAAGAGCTTTGCAAGGGTGGAACGCTGAAATTCCACATTGTGCACCTGCATCCAGCGTCACCAACGTTCCAGGTGCGATGTGAACCACTGGATGTTCATCCCTATCCTACTCGCATCTCGCCCATGTGTTCCCCATGGCTGTTGCTTTAACAGATCCTGAATCTGATCATCTGGTTGGTTAAATGAACCTTGTATGGTATAGCGAATGTATTATGTACTGTATATACCACTACTGAGTGAAGTTTACTGCATATCCAATGAGAATTGGATCACTCGAAGCAATCAGAATAATGACCTAGCGACAAAACCCCATCATGATTAGGGTTTGTTGATGGTTTTTCCCGACATAGGATACACCTAACATCCAAGCATCGTTTGAAACATGCAAGGGCGATCCAGACCAAGAGATCGATCCGGACCATCCCCGATTTGAGTTTATGAAATTGGGCATACCATGGTATAACCCTATTATAGTAATGGGACGATGTAATTTGAATGACCACGACTTTTGGTTACCTACTGGGATGGTTTGTTAAACCATTGGTTCTACCACAAACCAAAGCTGGAAAAAAATCCCCAATGGTTGGATATACTTTCTGCAGATAATTCACATTAATTGAAACTAGATGTGGGTGATATCCCATGGTTTTCCTCATCATGTTCCATGGTTTTCCATTGGTTTTTCCAAACATCATCTGGTTGGTGGTTTCAACATGTTTCAAGCATCTTGAAAAATATGAGTTCGTCAATGGGAAGGATGACATTTTTTTTTTCATTTCCTGTTCCTGTTGCTGCAGGGGAGTCCCTGCTTGGTCGTGCGCTTTGGCCTGGCACTACTCTGTACAGAGGATGGTTCAGCAGTAGTAATCTGGCTGAACAATGTCATCCTCGACAAAATCGTTCGCTACCAGGTCTGCAAACTCCGCAGGCAATTGCTGGGTTTGCGTCACCGAAAAGGTGTGCTGTACAAAGTCTGCTACTGCCTGCGCGATTGCCATGTTGAGGCCATGAGGATAGACCTTGCCTCTTGCGGTCTTGAAGGCTCCATCCGCTTCTTGTCCCGCCAGTGCTTCGTGGGCTGATGGTCCATGGCAACATCGCCCCATGCATCCTGTGGTCAAGATCTTCTGCCGCAGAAGTGGCAAACGCAGGTGTAGGATAGTGGTGGGCTTCTTGGCTCGACATCCAAAAATGCACTGGTCAAAGCTCGTAATGCCAATCGCTTGCAGCGTCCGCAAAAGGCGCATGGCAGAGTTGGTCCAGACACTGGACGGATCCATATCCTTTGCCCAGGTAGGGAATTGAGGGTGTTCTATGAACGCGCAGCCCCCTGTCAAGGCCAGAACCAGCACCACATCGATGATGAACCGCATGAGCCTGGATCCAATCAATATTACCTGTCTCCAAGCTTTCAGCGGGATGTTAGGGATCCCGTTCGGCCAACTGCCGGATCTCACTGGTGGGGGGCCCCCCTGCAGGAGTCTGGCAGCAGAATATGACTCACATGGGGGGCCCCCCCCAGCACCACATACCTGTCCAGACTTGATGCGGTCCATCCACCACGTCAGCGAGGAGGATGATGCCAAATCTCCCCTTTCTCTCTGGAGGCACATGTCTACTGAGAGCACAAACAGCTGGTGGCCCTGTGGGAAGACATGGTGGTCCAGCAGGTCATGGAGGTCGCCCCTTCTGCGGTATCCGGAGAAGAAGTGCACAAAGACCTGGGTGCGAATGTGCAACCGGGCTGTTTCACGCGCCAGCCCTTTCAAGGAGAATCTGCCATCCCCGGCGTTCATACCGGCTGCCGACTGAAAGACAAATGCAGGCAAGTCATCATCAAACAGGATGACGCGAGGCCCCGGTGCCTCGTGTAAGGTGAGGGCATGCCCTTGCAGTTGCTCAAAGCCGGAGCCTGCGGCTGGATTGCGCCGGCTCCATTTGAGATGCATTTGCGCGGCCTCTTGGGTCCCTGCAGTGGGCAGGCATGGTCCATGAATCCTGCGTGCTGGGGCCAGAGCTTTGGCTGCTCCCCACCCCTGTGCGCGCAAGGAAAGGGTGGTTTCATGGTCAATGGCATCAAAGGCCACCACCTGTTCATCGGACAGCGGTGGGAAGCATGCTTGCAGGGTGCGTAAGCACTCAGAGGCATCTCGGAGGTGCTCAATGAGTCTTTTGCGCGTGGCATATGTCTTGGCACAGGCATTGCAGGTTTGGTCCACAGCATAGAATTTGACCAAGCGGCGGTACCCATGTGCACGGCCGGAGTGCGTGGCCAAGGCTCGCTTGGATGGAAAGGCCTTTTGGCACTGGTCACAGACCCATGTTTCGCTTTGGAGGGTCTGAGCGCATGGCAGGCTGCCTCCTGCATCGACAAACCTGGCTTGGAACGCTTTAAGCCACACATGTTCCTCAGCCGTGGCCTGCCTGAAGCTGAGACACCCTTTGGCAGCCTTCTTGAGACGGCCATTCCAACTGGAATCCAGAGCCACATGCGTGATCCATGCTATCGTGTCAGCCGCATCGATGGGCGCTCCTGGAACTTGATAAAACTGCAAAAACCAGGCAAATGAGGACTTGCACAGGGCTAGCCAGCTGTGTGGCCACGCGGCAGCTTGCATCAGCAAATTCCACAGGGTTTGGGGGCAGTACGCCAGCAGGCGCTTGAGATACCGCAACCGCGCAACGTGCAGCTGATCTGCCGGGGGCAGGATTTGGGCTAAGGCGAACAGGTCTACCGTATCTACCTTGACCGGTGCAATCCCTTTGAGCATGGGTTTCGTCATCAACCCCAGGGGCTTGCGGAGTTTCTGTTGCCAGGTGGCAATGTGGTCGTCGGTGACCCCAACCCACGTGTGGGCATTGTACACCATCCTGGACATGCTAAGGGACTGGAAGGCTGTGGTTTTGGCTTTGAGGCCTAGGTGCCGCTTATGGTAGAAGGAGCGTGCCAGGCACCCCCAGCTTTGCAGGGCCAGGGAGGCCCGTTGAGCGATTTCTCGTTGATGGCTGCCTCCAACTTGCACCCAGGATCCCAAGTGCTTGTAGGAGTGGGCGACACGTAGGTTAAAAGTGTGGTCGCCTTGCTGCCATGAGAGCCATTGGCCTGAATCGTGCAGTCGCTCCTTCAGGGCTTTGGAGCCTTTGCCAAGGATGTCCCATAGGACTTCGGTTTTGCCTTGTTGGAAGTTCACATCCAAACCTCTTGTCTTGGCAGCGGTGTGGAAGGATTCCACGACCGGTTTGATGAGACTTTCAACCTCTGACAGTGTCTCTGCATGGACTGCTACCGCCACATCGTCGACGAAGGACACATCAAAGTAGGCATGGGTGGGGATCTCATCAGCTTCGGCAAATGAGCGGCAGTGGGTGGGAGCTCCTAGCCAGGTTGCCCCGGAGGTGTGCTGAACCTGGGCGTGCATGTCGTGCAAAACTAGGCGCATTATCAGGTTGAAGAGTAAGTCTCCCAGTGGGTCACCTGGGCGGGTCCCACGGGTCGTGTGGCACACCCCTGGCACCCCATCCACTGTGAAAAAAGTGTTGTGCATACAGTCCATGATTAATTTTTCAGTGTGGGGTGAAGCATTCTGGATGGCATGGTCGGTTTGGGCCTGCTGCAGCCACATGTCGATCA